CGATTCGCCTGACTTTGCCTTCCAAAGTGCTGGGGTTACAGGCATGAGCCACTTCGCCTGGCCTCCAGAACGCTATTCTCCTTCCCAGACTGAAACTCTGCCCCCATTAAACACTAAACTCCTCATTCTTAATTTTCCCCAGTTCCTGGAAACCTCTGTTCTACATTGTCTTTATGAATCTGACTACATACTCATATAAGTGGAATCATACAGTATCTGTCCTTTTGTGTCTGCCTATTTCACTTAGCACAATGTTGTCAAGGTGTATTCACATTGTGGCATGTGTTGGAATGCCATCCTTTTTTTTTTTTTTTTTTTTTTTTTTTTGAGGTAGTCTTGCTTTGTTGCCCAGGCTGGAGTGCAGTGGAACGATCTTGGTTCACACAACCTCCGCCTCCTGGGTTCAAGTGATTCTTCTGCCTCAGCCTCCCCAGTAGCTGGGACTACAGGCCTGCGCCACCACGCCCAGCTAATTTTTGTATTTTTAGTAGAGACGGGGTTTCACCATGTTGGTCAGACTGGTCTCAGACTCCCAACCTCAGGTGATCCGCCTGCCTCAGCCTCCCAAAGTGCTGGGATAATAGGTGTGAGCCACCGCACCTGGCCTACGAAGGCTATATTTTAACGATAGCAGAAACCACACCAAACCAAATTTGGTGACTAAGAGAAAGTGGCCCCTGAGAGCTGGGAGCTGGTCTGGCCTCGCAGCTGGGGTGTGGTGTGCTCCCAGTTCACCCACATGAGGAAAGGTCACTCTGTGACCGTGAGGAAGTGAGTCAAAGTCAAAAGGAACAACACTCAGCAGTTGTCCTGAACACGCATCTCAGGGCCACCCACACAAATGAGACTGTCTCCCTAACCTGTGCCGTGCTGCGTCGCTCCCAGTCACAGCTGTAGATATAAAGGGATCGAGCCACTCAGCCATACAATCACCCCGCTTTCTGACAGCACACATCCAGAGCAAACCCACACTTCCTTAAATCTTTCTCCAGATCCGATACCAGCACTAACACCGCTTCTGAAGACACCCTGGCTTCCCCGTGCTGTGCGGCCTCCCTTGCCACAGCAAGCATGATAAACCCAGCTTCCTGGTGGTCAGATTTGATTGATAGGCACCAGCGCGACCATGGAGGGAGTGACAGCTAGAGAATTTCAGGGTTCACGAGATGGAGCCAGTGACTCACGAGCTCAGCTGAAATCTCTCAGCCTGATGCTTCTCTTTCTATCACAGTAACCCTCCATGATAGATTAGAACTGTTCCCACTTGACTGGGGTGGTGACTCACGCCTGTAATCCCAGCTATTTGGGAGGCCAAGGTGGGAGGATTGCTTGAGCCCAGGAGTTTGAGATCAGCCTGAGCAACATAGTGGGACTCCATCTCTGTTTATTTATTTATTTATTTTGAGACGGAGTTTTGCTCTTGTTGCCCAGGCTGGAGTGCAATGGCGCGGTCTCAGTTCACCGCAACCTCTACCTCCCAAGTACAAGAGATTCTCCTGTCCCAGCCTCTCAAGTAGCTCATATTACAGGCATGTGCCACCAGGCCCACCTAATGTTTTTGTATTTAGTAGAGATGGGGTTTCACTACGTTAGTCAGACTGGTCGCAAACTCCTGACCTCAGGTGATCTACTCGTCTTGGCCTCCCAAAGTGCTGGGATTACAGGCATGCACCACTGTGCCCGGCCTCTCTCTTTTTTTTTTGAGATGGAGTCTCGCTCTGTCACCAGGCTGGAGTGCAACGGTGTGATCTCGGCTCACTGCAACCTCTACCTCTCAGATTCAAGGGATTCTCCTGCCTCAGCCTCCCGAGTAGCTGGGACTACAGGTGCCCACCACCATGCCCAGCTAATTTTTTGTATTTTTAATAAAGATGGGGTTTCACCATGTTGGCCAGGATGGTCTTGATCTCTTGATCTGGTGATCCACCCGCCTCAGCCTTCCAAAGTGTTAAAATTACAGGCGTAAGCCACCATGCCCAGCCTCTATTTTTATAATAAACTGTGTGTGTGTGTGTGTGTGTGTGTGTATATATATATATGTTTTTTTTTTTTTTTTTTTTTTTGAGATGGAGTCTTAGTCTATCACCCAGGCTGGAGTGCAGTGGTATGATCTCGGCTCACTGCAACCTCTGCCGCCCAGGTTCAACCGATTCTCCTGCCTCAGCCTCCCAAGTAGCTGGGATAACAGGCATCTGCCATCATGCCTGGCTAATTTTTGTATTTTTGGTAGAGACAGGGTTTCACCATGTTGGCCAGGCTGGTCTTGAACTCCTGACCTCGTAATCTGCCTGCCTCGGCCTCCCAGAGTGTTGGGATTACAGGTGTGAGCCACTGCGCTCAGCCAATAAATACAATTTTTAAAATTGCTCCAGATAAGAACATCAAGCTGAGGGTTACTAACTTGTCCACGCTATTGAGTACAGAGATAGGTCTGAGATCTGGGTGGCCTGTCCCCAAGCCAGGGCTCTTTCAGGCCACCAACTCTCCCTCGGCCTGTGCTGACCAAGTGAGCCCAGGGGGCAGTGTGCAAGCTTGAAGAGCGACAGCAGCCTGGTTTTGTGCAGGGGGCATGCCCTCGGGGAGAGTGGTCTTCTTTATTTTTGAGACAGGGTGTCACTCTGTCACCTAGGCTGGAGCGCAGTGGCAGTGGCACAATCGCGGCTCACTGCAGCCTCGACCTCCTGAGCTCAAGTGATCCTCTTACCTCAGCCTCCCAGGTAGCTGGGACTACAGGTGCACACTACTGTGCCTGGCTCGTTTTTCTTAGAGACAGGGTTTCGCCATGTTGCCATGACTGGTCTCAAACTCCTGAACTCAAGCCATCCACCCACCTCAGCCTCCCAAAGTGCTGGCACTGCACCCAGCCTGACTGTTGATTCTTATTTTGAATCAGTCTATCACCTAGGCTAGAGTGCAGTGTTGTGATCTCAGCTCACTTCAACCTCTGCCTCCCAGGTTCAAGAGATTCTCCTGCCTCAGCCTCCCGAGTAGCTGGGACTAGAGGCATGCACCGCCATGCCCAGCCAATTTTTGTATTTTTAGTAGAGGCAGTGTTTCATCATGTTGGCCAGGCTGGTCTGAAACTCCTGGCCTCAAGTGATCCACCCACCTCAGCTTCCCAAAGTGCTGGGATTACAGGCATTGGTCACCACGCCCGGCCTGAGTGTTCATTCTTAAAGCATTTGGCAGCTCTACTGAGGCCCCTGCAGCCAACCCCATTGGTGGTGGCCTGTGTCCAGGAGAAGCACACTGGTGAGTTGGCCGGCGCCAGCCTCTGGTGCTGGGGATGAGGCAGGGAAGGAGCCCCTCCATCTGCTGAGCTGAGCCCCAGCGCTCTTCAGACGCTCCCACCACAGCGAGCAGATGCCCAGCAAACATCTTTCTAGGGCTACCACCAAAGGCCAGCGTTTACCTGTGCGAGAGCTTATACACAACACGGAAGAGCTTCTAACACGTATGCGTTTATTTTCATGTGTAAGAAGAAAAATGTAACTAGCACGTGAACATGACTGCACGATACATGGCTCAGCACAAGACTAAAGTCAGAAGTGAGTGAAAACAAAATAGCATGTTGATTTAAGCGAAAGAACAGAACAGGAGGTCTTTGGTTAGAACAATTGTGGAGGTGGCCTGTGAATGCAGAAGTTCAGGACTCCCTGCTATAGGCTAAGGGTGAGATGCTGCCATCTGGGCTGAAGCCCCTGGGGTTCTACAGAGAAGCCTGCCCAGTGCATGGCCCCTGTGGCCTTCTCGTGAGAGCCTATGGGACAGCAAGACCCCAGGGAGGAAAGCACATTCTGTTTAACTTGTCCAGGTGCTACAAAATGTCTTAGAAGCGATGAAGCAACAATGATGATTCTCCTTCAAAGGGAAGAAGAATCTTCCAGGTGTGGTCTTGAGGAGGCAGGGGTTACAAGACAGGCGGGGCTGCAGGGCCCAAGTAGGACTTGAGGTCATAACCAGGGGACTGAAGAGATACCTGTCCTGGCACCATCCTGGAGAAGTGCTTGTGTGTGTGTGAGGGAGAGGGGGTGCATGGCCCGAGTCAAGGCTGAAGGAGGCACACTCGGTCCCCGCACCCTGTTCGCAGCACGTACCAGGCTCTCACCCCATGCCTGCTGACACACCGCAGCACCCGGGAGGTGCCAGAAGGCAGGTGGGGGGCTGCTGACATCCCGGGGTGTCTGTGGACCACCCTTTCCTCCTGGGCCTGGGCCCTGGCCCCACTTTGGCACCACACATTCCAGAGTGGGGAAGTCCATGGCTGTGCCCCACTGGATCCCATTCCTGTACATGTGCGAATCAAGGCGAGGTGTTTGCTATTACGCTCCCCACTAAATCCAAAGAATGTTGGTTCCCATCATTTCAACCTCAATATTTTCAGAAAGTACTTTTTTTTTTTTTGGAGATAGAGTCTCGCTGTGTCGCTCAGGCTGGAGTGCAGTGGTGCCATCTCAGTTCACTGCAACCTCCGCCTCCCCAGTTCAAGCAATTCACCTGCCTCGGCCTCCCAAGTAGCTGGGATTATAGGTGCGCGCCACCACATCCAGCTAATTTTTGTATTTTTAATAAAAACAGGGTTTCCCCATATTGGCCCAGGGTGGTCTCAAACTTCTGACCTCGAGTGATCTGCCTGCTTTGGCCTCCCAAAGTGCAGGGATTACAGGCATGAGCCACCACGCCCAGTCTAAAAAGCACTTTTTTTTTTGAGACAGAGTTTCCCTCTTGTCACCCAGGCTGCAGTGCAATCTCACTGCAACCTCTGCCTCCCAGGTTCAAGAGATTCTCCTGCCTCAGCTTCCCTAGTAGCTGGGATTACAGGCACCTGCTACCATGCCCGGCTAGTTTTTGTATTTTTAGTAGAGATAGGGTTTCATCATGTTGGCCAGGCTGGTCTTTCCTGATCTCAAATGATCCACCCACCTTGGCCTCCCAAAGTGCTGAGACTACAAGCGTAAGCCACCCTGCCCAGCCTCTAAAAAGCCCTTTTTAAGGAACCCTGGAGTTGTTCCTCAAATAGCTCAACCCTGCAAGCCAGGCTGGTCCCAGCACCCCTACCAGACAGCTAGTCAGTGAGAAGGGTCCAAGTTCCCCCAGCTTTTCCCTGGAAGTGGGGTGGGGTCAGCAGGGAATTCTGGGGGTGACGCTCATGGTCCAGGAGCCTTCTGATGCCCAGAGGGTACAGGAGGAGTGGAAGGCCTGGGGGTACTCAGCCCCACTGTATCCTGGACAGGCTAGGCCGACTTGCAGGCTGGTCCCCACGGAGGCTCAGAAGGAAAGTGTGCAAGAGCAGGTCAGGAAGGGAAACCAAGTCAGGGAAGGGCCCAGCCGGGGCTAGTGGTCCATTCACTGCCCAGCAGGTACTCAGCAGCACCCCGCAGCACTCCGCTTCACGTGGCACGGCTTGCAGAAGAGACGATTGTTCAGGGGGTAGCAGCCTTGGTCCGTGGGCTCAACAGACAGGAGGATCCTGCAGTCCTGAGGAGACAAAGACACATGTGGACCCGCCCTGGGCCTGGGAGCTGCCTGTACAGGGGAGGGACTCACTCGACATCTGCTGAATAAACCAACTACATGAGTGGATGTACTCCCTAAGCGGGAGGAAGGTGGATGCTCGTTGCTGCCCTCCCAACACCTGGGCCAGGTCTCCATCTGGGAAGATGAGACACAGGCACACAGGGAGGCTTTAATCCACATGGAGGCGCCGGAGAGGACATTCACCGTCAGGAGAACTAAGGACACCTAAGGAAGTCCCCTGAGCGTTCAAGGAAAGCTGGGGCTAGAAGGGCCTTAATAACCCCTTTATTATTTTTTAAAATGTGTTTTTATTATTTATTTTGAGACAGAGTCTTGCTCTGTCGCCCAGGCTGCAGTGCAGTGGCACGATCTCAGCTCATTGCAACCTCTGCCTCCCGGGTTCAAGTGATTCTCCTGCCTCCTGAGTAGCTGGGATTACAGGCATGTGCCACCACACCCAGCTAATTTTTTTTTTTTTTTTTTTTTTGAGACGGAGTCTTGCTCAGTCGCCCAGGCTGGAGTGCAGTGGCGTGATCTCGGCTCACTGCAAGCTCCGCCTCCCGGGTTCTCGCCATTCTCCTGCCTCAGCCTCCGAAGTAGCTGGGACTACAGGCGCCCACCACTACGCCCGGCTAGTTTTTGTATTTTTAGTAGAGACGGGGTTTCACCGTGTTAGCCAGGATGGTCTCGATCTCCTGACCTTGTGATCCGCCCGCCTCGGCCTCCCAAAGTGTTGGGATTACAGGTGTGAGCCACCGTGCCCGGCCAACATTAATATTTTCTATTTTTCGAATCACCAAAGGATTTCAGAATGAGGAACACAGGGACTGGGACTCGGGGCCCAAACTCTACCAACATCACTGTTCTGCCCCAGAAACCTCACCTGGGCACATGCTGGAGAGTAACAGAGGGGACAATTTGTGCACAGAGACTTGGTTCTGGGCACCCTTTGGAAGCTGCATTGATCCCACAAAAGAGTCCTTACAGGGGGCCAGGCACGGTGGCTTACCCCCATAAGCCTAGCACTTTGGGAGGCCGAGGCGGATGGATCAAGAAGTCAGGAGTTCGAGACCAGCCTGGCCAGCATGAGGAAACCCCACCTCTATGAAAAATATAAAAATTAGCTGGGCGTGGTGGCGGGTGCTTATAATCCCAGCTACTCATGAGGCTGAGGCAGGAGAATTGTTTGAACCCGGGAGGCGGAGGTTGCTGAGATCATGACATTGCACTCAAGCCTGGAAGACAGGGTGAGAGTCCGTCTCAAAAGAAAGAAAAAAAGAGTCCCTATAGGGACTACTTTGGGGTCACAGGTGGGCCTCCTGATGCAGTAGGGACCAGGGTCTGCAATCTGCCTTCCTCCATGGTCAGCTGGGTGAGGTGCTCCTGTGTCTCCTCCCTGCAAGGCTACTTGGGTCTCTCAAATGGACCACGGGCTACACAACGGCATCTGTGCCACCTGTTTGGCATTGTAACACATGCTGGAGGGCCACATGAGACCCCTCCTAAATTAGAACCAACTGGAGAAAACACCTCATCTACCACCAAGTCTCACAACCTCTGCAAGGCAGTTGTGCGGTGGCTGAAACCTCACTGAACCCAGCCCACACAAGCATGGCTGGAACCCGTTTTCTGAGACTGTTTGCCTGTTCCCCCCCCCCCCTTTTTTTTTTTTTAAAGATAGGGTCTCACTCTGTCACCCAGGCTAGAGTGCAGTGGCATGATCATGGCTCACTGCAGCCTCCAGCTGCCAGGCTCAAGCAATCCTGCTGCCTCAGCTTCCAAAGGAGCTGTAACTACAGAAGGGTACAACCGTGCCTGGCTAATTTTTCCAATTTTTTGTAAGATGAGGTCTTACTGTGCAGGCTGGCTTTGAACTCCTGGGCTCAAGCGATCCTCCTGCCTCAGCCTCCCAAAGTGCTGGGATCATAGGTGAGAGCCCACGCACCCCACCAGTTTCCCCATCTTAATGGGGACAATAAATCCCATCTCACAAGACTGTCACTAGGATTAAACAAGGTAAGGTCAATGAAAGCATTTTATAAATTTAAAAATACTACCTACATCTAAAAGCACTGTTATCCTTCCAACAATAGTCATAAATAATATGGACCCCAAAGCAAGTAGAAATGGTGAGATATGGGTGTGGGCAGTGCATGGAAACCCATTTTCTTCTTAGGTTAACAGCACTCAACTCCTTCCAGGCTGCTGTGTTTCAAGAGCCTCATTTTTTTTTTTTTTGAGATGGAATCTTGCTCTATTGCCCAGGGTAGATGGCTAGAGTGCAACGGCACAATCTCGGCTCACTGCAACCTCTGCCTCCTGGGTTCAAACGATTCTCCTGCCTCAGCCTCCCAAGTAGCTGGGACTGCAGGCATGCGCCACTATACCCAGCTAATTTTGTTTTTTGAGACGGAGTCTCACTCTGTCACCAGTGTGGAGCACAGTGGTACAATCTCGGCCCACTGCAACCTCTGCCTCCCAGATTCAAGCAATTCTCCTGCCTCACCTTCCCGAGTAGCTGGGACTACACACACCACCACACCCAGGTAATTTTTGTATTTTTAGTAGAGATGGGGTTTCACCATGTCGGCCAGGATGGTCTCCATCTCTTGACGTTGTGATCCGCCTGCCTCAGCCTCCCAAAGTGCTGGGATTACAAGAGTGAGCCACTGCACCTGGCCTAATTTTTGTATTTTTAGTAGAAACCGGGTTTCGCCATGTTGTCCGGGCTGGTCTTGAACTCCTGAATGCAAGTGATCCATCCGCCTGGGCCTCCCGAAGTGCTGGGATTACCAGCATGAGCCACCATGCCTGGTCAAGAAGCCTCATCTTCTGACACATAACTTCTGGAGTCCAAATGCTGACTTACTACACCGCCCTTGGCCAAGTCATCAAGACCACTGTGGGGGTTTATTCACTTCCTGGCTCAGGAAAGTGCCAGTCACTGCTGGACTCATTAGGACAATGGTGGGGATAACAGCATTTAAACTTCCTCATTGGGGCTTTCAAAATGCACTATCAGCAGGACTTTGAACTATAACCAACAAAGAAAATGTAATTACGCAGCAATTTATCAACTTCTCTACCCAGCTCCTTTGACAACCTCAGTGAAAATAGTCTTTGGGTCCCAGTATCTGTTTATATAAGTGGGAGTGAACAAGTGTTTCGAAATACTCATCGAGTAAGAGATCTGCTCTGGGGCTCTCCAGTTAGGTCCCCCCATAAAAGTTGCCACCTTGTCACCATCACCGGAGAAGACAGAAGCTTCAGTGACAAGGAGCCAGCAGTAGAAGGGGTGGGAGACGATTTCTGAGCCTCCTCAGCAGGACTGACTACATAATTTCTAGGATCTTGGACAAAATAAAAATGTGGGGCCCCTTGTTCAGAAATTAAGAATTTTGGCTGGGTGTAGTGGCTCACGCCACCCAGCACTTTGGGAGGCCAAGGTGGGCGGATCACTTGAGATCAGGAGTTTAACACCAGCCTGGTCAACATGGCGAAATCCCGTCTCTACTAAAAACACAAAAATTACCCGGGCACGGTAGTGCGAGCCTGTCATTCCAGCTACTCGGGACGCTGAGGCAAGAGAGTTGCTTGAACCTGAGAGGCAGAGGTTGCAGTGAGCCGAGATAGTGCCACTGTACTCCACCTTGGGTAACAAAGTGAGACTCAGTCTCTGAAAAAAAAAAAAAAAAAAAAATTAAGAATTTCAGGCTGTAGATAGTGGCTCATGCATGTGATCTCAGCACTTTGGGAGGCCAAAGTGAGAGGATCGCTTGAGCCCAGGAGTTCAAGACCAGCCTGGGCAAATTTCTGTAGAGAAGTCATCCCTATAAAAATTTTAAAAATAAAAAAATTAGCTGGGTGTGGTGGTGCGCACCTGTACTTACAGCTACTCAGGATGCTAAGGTGAGAGACCTGCTTGAGCCCAAAATTTCAAGGCTACAGTGAGCTATGATTACACTATTGCACTCCAGCCTGACTCCAGTCTCTGTCTATTAAAAACAAAGGCCGGGGGCAGTGGCTTACGCCTGTAATCCCAGCACTTGGGGAGGCTGAGGCGGGCGGATCACGGGGTCATGAGATCGAGACCATCCTGGCTAATACAGTGAAATCCCATCTGTACTAAAAAATACCAAAAAAATTAGCCGGGTGTGGTGGCAGGTGCCTGTAGTCCCAGCTACTCGGGAGGCTGAGGCAGGGGAATGGCGTGAACCCAGGAGGCGGAGCTTGCAATGAGCGGAGATCGCGCCACTGCACTCCAGCCTGGGTGACAGAGCGAGACTCCACCTCAAAAATAAATAAATAAAAATAAAAATAAAAACAAATCAAAAAAATCAAGACTTTAAAGAGAGCAATAGCAGAACTTTAAAGCTAGCATAGGACCCTTCTGATTGCCAAGTCGTGTGTGACGACACCTGGGCCCTTCTTCCTGGGACAACTGCACCAGTTTCTAATCAGCTCACCCATCTCAGCCTGACCCCTCTCTGCAGCCTGAAGTCCAGACTCTCTAGCCTGGCACTGCAGCCCTTTCCTTCACTCTGGCCTCAACATTAACCATAACCCCAGCCCTCTACACTCCAGTCACATCTATAGACTTCCACTTCTGGCCGGGAGCAGTGGCTCATGCCTGTAATCCCAGCACTCTGGAAGGTTAAGGCAGCTGGATCACTCGAGATCAGGAGTTCAAGACCAACCTGGCCAACGTGGTGAAACCCCATCTCTACTAAATACAACAATTAGCCGGGTGTGGTGGCGCACGCCTGTAGTCCCAGCTGCTCGGGAGGCTGAGGCAGGAGAACCGCATGAACCCAGGAGGCGGAGGGTGCAGTGAGCTGAGATCGCGCCACTGCCCTCCAGCCTGGGTGACAGAGTGAGATGCCATCTCAAAAATAAATAAATAAATAAATAAATAATAAAAACAATTTAAAAGAGACAATTTCTAAGTGAAAAAGTAACATTCAAAAGAGTTGATCTAGGCCGGGTGCAGTGGCTCACACCTATAATCCCAGCACTTTGGGAGGCCGAGGCAGGCGGATCACCTGAGGTCAGGAGTTCGAGACCAGCCTGGTCAATATGGAGAAGTCCCATCTCTTCTAAAAATATAAAAATTAGCTGGGCGTGGTGGTGGGCACCTGTAATCCCAGCTACTCAGGAGGCTGAGGCAGGGAGAATTGCTTGAACCAAGGAGCTGGAAGTTGCAGTAAGCCAAGATCGTACCACTGCACTCTAGCCTGGGAGACAGAGTAAGACTGTCTTCAAAAAAAAAAAAAAAAAATAAGGCTGGGCACAGTGGCTCATGCCTGTAATCCCAGCACTTTGGGAGGCCGAGGCGGGCAGATCACCTGAGGTCAGGAGTTTGAGACCAGCCTGACCAACATGGAGAAACCACGTCTTTACTAAAAATACAAAAAATTAGCTGGGTGTGGTGGTGCATGCCTGTAATCCCAATTACTTGGGAGGCTGAAGCAGGAGAATCCCTTGAACCCAGGAGGTGGAGGTTGCGGTGAGCCGAGACTGCGCCATTGCACTCCAGCCTGGGCAACACGAGTGAAACTCCATCTCAAAAAAAAAAAAGGAAAAGGAAAAGACGCTTCCACTTCCTCTGATTCTTCAGGCTTGCTTATGCTACTGTGGATTTTTACAGCTCTTTTCCTCTTTCTGGACTTCTTCTCCCCTCTATCTGGCAAACTCCTCCTCATCCTGCAAGGCCCAGTCAAGCATTGCCTCCTACATGAGTGCCTTTGATTCTACCACGCTGGTTGGACCAGCACTGCCTTCTTTATGCCAATGCTGATTTATTTTTTATTTCATTTTTTTTTTTTTAAGATGGGGTTTCACCATGTTGCCCAAGCTGGTCTTGAACTCCTTAGCTCAAGTAATCCACCCATCTCAGCTTCCCAAAGTGCTGGGATTGCAGATGTGAGCCACTGCACCAGGCCCCCAAAGCTGATTTCTACATTCTCTTGCCTGGCACCCGGAAAAGGTATGTGGTGTAGATCTGTCCAGCATCCTCTTCTCCCTTCCTCCGGTTGTAGCAACCCCTCTTTTTTTATGTGGTTCTGCCTCCCTGGCCCCAGGGGTTATCAATCCTAGCACCCAGCCACAGTGACTGGCCCTGAATGGGCATGTGACCCCAGCTGGGGTGATTAGAGGCCTTCTAGGGACAGTCTGGCTTCCTTGGATGTGGTGTGCTGTCTTTCCCCTAGGGTTTCTAAGCTGGGGAGATGTAAACCTGGGCCACCTCTGCCCATGCACTGTGCCCCGCCTCCCCACAGAGAAGGCCAGCCCATAGGCAGCAAAAATGAAGCAAACACATAAAAAAGGCAGAGCCAAGAGATGGAAAAGAGGCCAGGAGCGTTGGCTCATGCCTATAATCCCAGCACTTTGGGAGACGGAGGTGGACGGATCACCTGAGACCCACCTGGCCAACATGGTGAAACCCCATCTCTACTAAAAATACAAAAACTAGCCAGGTGCAGTGGTGCATGCCTGTAATTCTAGCTACTTGGGAGGCTGAGGCAGGAGAATTGCTGAACCCAGAAGGCGGAGGTTGCAGTGAGCTGAGATCACACCACTTCACTCCAGCCTGGCAACAAAAGTAAGACTCTCTCCAAAAAAAAAAAAAAAAGAAAGAAAGAAAGAAAGAAAAAGAAAGATGGAGAGAGTCCTGATGCCATCACTCAATACCATCAGTGTTCCCCCACCATTAGCCAACAGATTCTCTTTTTTGTAGAAAGCAACTTGAGTTTGGTTTCTTATCATTAACGCGAAGAGTTGATAATAGACTATAGTTGTATTTCCAGCATCTTTTGTTTCTCCTACTGGACAGTGAGCAATTTGAGAGTACAGCCCCCACCCTGACCTGTCCCCATGTCCAAGCAACCCAGCCAAGGGCCTGGCAATGCAGCGACGGAATATTATTAAACCACCTGGGCTCTACTCACCTCACACCTATAGCAATTTTCATGGAAGTTTCTTCCCATGCACTCGATTTTGAAGGCATCTTTCCCATCCCGAGGAATGATGGGATTTTCACAGATGCTGCAGACGGGGGCGAATTTCCTAGAAGCAAAGAAACCCATGCTTGGGAGGCGTTCATGCCACAACCACATAAATTAATTAGCTGTCAGAACTCGGGCTGGCTGGTGTTCACCTCCTGAGCAATTTCAGTCCCGTTGCTATGGGACTGCACTAGCAGCTATAAGCAGAGATGTCTATTTCTTCCTGGCAGGAGCAGGTGGAAAGACCTGTGTAATGAGACCTGGTTTCACTGGAGATTGTCTGAATTGACAACTGTGTTCAGTGGGGCTGGGACCCATCTCATCTGTCTTTTTTTTTTTTGAGACAGAGTTTTTTGGCTCTTGTCACCCAGGTGGGAGTGCAATGGCACAATCTCTGCTCACTGCAACCTCTGCCTCCCAGGTTCAAGCGATTCTCCTGCCTCAGCCTCCCGAGCAGCTGGGACTATAGGCAGGCACTACCATGCCCAGCTAATTTTTGCATTTTTAGTAGCGACAGGGTTTCACCATGTTGGTCAGGCTGGTCTTGAACTCCTGACCTCATGATCTGCCCACCTTGGCCTCCCAAAGTGCTGGGATTACAGGTGTGAGCCGCCGTGCCCAGCCAGTACTTCTTTCTTAAGAGGCACATCTGTCTCTCCCCTTGAGTGGTGAGCAACTTATGGGCAGGGATTGAGTCCAACAGATGTGTCCCCACTGCATCATTCAGCTCCAAGGGCAGACCCAGAGGTCTGGGGTTTCAGAGCAGGGCCCGAAAGTCAGGTCCCTGGGGATGTGTATACTTACCAAGAGTTTCAATACTTACCTGTGGAGAGACTTTGGGTACTTAGCTGCTGTGTGCCTTGGTTGGTAAAACAGAACCCTTAATAGTACCTGCCTGTGACATTATATATATTTTTTAGTTTTTTGCTTTGTTTTGCTTGAGATGGAGTCTAGCTCTGTCGCCCAGGCTGGAGTGCAGTGGCACGATCTCAGCTCACTGTAAGCTCCGCCTTCCAGGTTCACGCCATTCTCCTGCCTCGGCCTCCTGAGTAGCTGGGACTACAGGCGCCCGCCACCAGGCCTGGCTAATTTTTTTTGTATTGTTAGTAGAGATGGGGTTTCACCGTGTTAGCTAGGATGGTCTCAATCTCCTGAACTCGTGATCCACCCGCCTCAGTCTCCCAAAGTGCTGGGATTATGGGCATGAGCCACCGTGCCCGGTCCAGCCCTGTAATATTCTTTATAATAAACCAGTAGACAGGAAACTGGCCCAGCACCCAGGACTCAGGCTCGGCTCCTTCATCCTGCTTGGATCTCGCCCTGTCCCTGCACCCCACCTGGTGCCAAACCCCTCTCGTACCTGTAGAAGTCATCCAGGCAGTACACCTCGTTCTGGCTGCCCAGGGCAAAGCTCTCATCCCCAATGCACCGGGCGCAGGTCACACACGTGAAGCAGGAGGGGTGGAAGGCCTGGCCCAGGGCCCTGATGATGTGGTCCTGGACCACTTCGCCACACTTGCCGCACTTCTCCAACGTGTCCTGGGACAGAGGCCACTGCCAGAGTCATCCACGGCACACCCACTCCAACCCACAAGGGTCTCTTCTTCTGGGAGGCTGCCCTCGGGGGCCCAGGAATTGGGAAGTACAGGAGAGGCCTGCAGACAACCTGTAACTATCGCCCAAAACCTCCACCATTGCTTATAACAAATTGAGCTTAGCCTTGCATCCTTGGCTTACTGCATGGAATACTGCCCTGATGCCCTGATGCTATGGCTGCATTTCTTGTTACTGGGATATGTTTAAGGTCAGGGTTCACAGAGCTCATAGGAGAAACTTCGCTTAAACCTCAGGGTCAGGAAGAGGAATTCTCAGGAGAATTGGGTGCTTTTATCATATAGACAAGAAGCCTTGAAATTCTTTCCCTTTTCCATTTGGCCACTTGGAAGCTCAGAGCCAAATTTCACATTTCATATTTCGAAACCATTATAGGGCTTTTTTGTTGTTATTTGGTTTTTGTTTTGTTTTGGGACAAAGTCTCACTCTGCATCCTCTACATGAGGTTCAAGTGATTCTCATGCCTCAGCCTCCTGAGTAGCTGGAACTACAGGTGCATGCTACCACGCCGGGCTAATTTTTTGTAGACATGGTGTTCCACTATGTTGGCCAGGCTGGTTTCGAACTCCTGACCTCAAGTGATCGACCTGCCTTAGCCTCCCAAAGTGCTGGGATTACAGGCGTGAGCCTCCCTGTCTGGCCTCCTCACACACGGTAGGTCGTAACATTCCCTTTGATCTCGTCTCACTTTCTGATTTTCCTTCTGTTTGGATGTCTTTATTTTACATATCATAGTATTATTGCAGTCTTTTACAAATTGTTTTATTGTTGGAAGAACACTTAACATGAGATCTACCTTTTTTTTTTTTCTGAGGCGGAGTTTCGCTCTTGTCACCCAGGCTGAAGTGCAATGGTGCAATCTTGGCTCACCACAACCTCGCCTCCTGGGTTAAAGCAAATCTCCTGCCTCAGCCTCCCAAGTAGCTGAGATTACAGATATGCGCCAACGCCCAGGCTAATTTTTTGTATTTTTAGTAGAGATGGGGTTTCTCCATGTTGGCCAGGCTGCTCTTGAACTCCTGACCTCAGGTGATCCGCCTGCCTCGGCCTCCCAAAGTGCTGGGATTACAGGCATGAGCCACTGTGCCCAGGCTTTTTCTTTTTTGTGAGATGGAGTCTTGCTCTGTCACCCAGACTGGAATGCAGTGGTGCGATCTTGACTCACTGCAGCCTCCGCCTCCGGGGTTCAAGCAATTCTCCTGCCTTAGCCTCCGGAGTAGCTGGGATTACAGGCATGCACCACTGTGCCTGGCTAATTTTTGTATTTTTAGTAGAGACAGGGTTTTTCCATTTTGGTCAGGCTGGTCTCGAACTCCTAACCTCAGGTGATCCGCCTGCCTCGGCCTGGCATGAGCCACGGCACCCAGCCAGTTAATATAATTTTATATGACGCCTTTAAGAAGAAATATGCCAGGCAAGGTGGCTTATGCCCGTAATCCCTGGACTTTGGGAGGCCAAGGCAGGCGGATCTCCTGAGGTCAGGAGTTCCAGACAAGCCTGGCCAACATGGTGAAAACCCCTGTCTCTACTAAAAACACAAAACAAAACAAAACAAAACAAATAAAACCCAACCAACCAACAAACAAAACAACCAGCTGGGCATGGTGGTAGGCACCTGTAATCCCAGCTACTTGGGAAGCTGAGGCGGGAGAATCACGTGGAATTTTTCAGTGCACCTATATCATTGCAGTCTATAGGTATACATGCATTCTCTTTAAAAACACGTTTTAATAAAAAATCACTATTTTAAAATAGAGGTGGAGTCTTGCCATGTTGTCCAGGCTGGTCTCGAACTCCTGACCTCAAGTAATCCTCCCACCTCAGCCTCCCGAAGTGCTGAGACTGCAGGTGTGAGCCACTGCGCCTGGCTGGTATATATGCATTCATAGAAGCTGCCTCAAATTCCTTCTGGAATAAGGAGCAATGATAAAGAGATACCTGAGGCAGGGCAGCAGGCCTCCCTCTAGCCTTTCCACCTTTTCTCCTGGACATGCTGTCTCTCCTTCCTGGCTGTGCTCCTGTGCATTTTACCTTGACCCCACCGGGACAGATGTAGGGGCATCTCCCACTCCCACCCTCCCTCTCATGGGCACGGCCCTTCTCTCCCCAGCACACTGATCAAGTCTTCCTCTTGGCTGCTTTCAGCTAGACACCCCTCCTCACTCCTCCTCCCCCAGAGTCTCACCCCTGAGGGACACTCCCCCATCATGTTGATGGGGTCACAGGGACACGGCAGGGAGGGCCTGGCTCCTCTCTCCTCCCACAGTGCCTCACTGGTGGTGAGCCTGGGATTAGATTGTTTGGATTCTTCTGGAGAGTCTCAGCTCCAAATACTCTAACCCCTCAAATCAGCCGTTTTCAAACTTCTATATGCATGAGAATCACCTGAGACACTTGCTCAAAATGCTGATTTCTAGGTGTGGCCTACACACATACCCAGGGGATGCGGCTGTGGGTGGTCGCCACCCTTGACATGCCACCACAAACCATCCAAGAGTTAGAAATTCCAGTATGCTGGCATCCCAACTGGCTCTCCCAGATTGCACTTGGTACCCGGAAGCAACATAGATTCCATGAGATCAAATATTGGAACCTTGTGGCTCTAGGGGAGGTGGTGGCAAGACTGATGGCAGCCTCCAGAGCCACATGGGTGTGGAATAGAATCCCAGTTGCTTGGCCATCTTATGTGACCTCGTGTGGTAGCTAAGAGATGCCCCCAAAGATATTCAGGTCCTTATCTCTGGACCCCATGAACGTTACCTCGCCCGGAAAAAGAGGCTTTCAGATGGGATAAGTTAAGGATCTTTTTTTTTTTTTGAGACAGAGTCTCACTCTGTTGCCCAGGCTGGAGTGCAGTGGCACGATCTTGGCTCACTACAACCTCCACCTCCCGGGTTCACGCCATTCTCCTGCCTCAGCCTCCTGAGTAGCCGGGACTACAGGCGCCCGCCACCAGCTAATTTTTTGTATTTTTTGTAGAGACGGGGTTTCACCATGGTCTCGATCTCCTGACCTCATGATCCATCTGCCTCGGCCTCCCAAAGTGCTGGGATTATAGGCGTGAGCCACTGTGCCCAGCCAAGTTAAGGATCTTAAGATGGGGAAGATTATCCTGATTATCCAAGTGGGTCCTAAATGCCATCACAGTGTCCCTGTAACTTGACACAGAGGTGGCAATAGGGCCGCTGAAGCGGGATCCTACACTGCTGGCTTTGATGGCAGAGGAAGGAGTCAAGTAGAATGCAGCTTCAGAAACTGCAAAAGGGGCCGAGTGCAGTGGCTCACACCTGTAATCCCAGCAGTTTGGGAGGCTGAGAGGGTGGATCCCTTGAAGTCAGGAGTTTGAGACCAGCCTGGCCAAAGTGGTAAAACCTCATCTCTACTAAAAATACAAAAATTAGTCGGGAATGGTGGCAGGCACCTGTAGTCCCAGCTACTCGGGAGGCTGAGACATGGGAATCGCTTGAACCTGGGATGCAGAGGTTGCAGTGATCCGAGATTGCACGACTGCACTCCAGTCTGGATGACAGAATGAGTCTCTATCTCAAAAAAGTGCGGTGGCTCAGGCCTATAATCCCAGCACTTTGGGAGGCCGAGGCGGGTGGATCATGACGTCAGGAATTCAAGACCAGCCTGGCCAAGATGGTGAAACCCTGTCTCTGTGAAAAATACAAAAATGAGCCGGGTACAGTGGCAGGTGCCTGTAATCCCAGCTACTCAGGAGGCTGAGGCAGAAGAATCCCTTGAACCTAGGTGGCAGAGGTTGCAGTGAGACGAGATCGTGCCACTGCACTCCAGCCTGTGCGATAGAGTGAGACTCCGTCCCCTACCCCAAAAAAAGAAGAACTAAAAAAAAAGAAATTGCAAAAGGCAGAGATGTGGGTTCTCCCTCAAGCCTGCAGACAGCACAACACCTTGGTTTTGGCCCAGTGAAGTTGATATTGGACTTCTGACTTCCAGAACCGGGATAGAATAAACGTGTATTGTTGGAAGTCACCAAGGTTGTGATCTCTTAAAGGCAGCCCTAGGAAACTAATCGCCTTCACTGGGCTCCTTCTTTCTGAGCCTCAGTTTCCTCATCTGTGAAAGGGGTCAATAGTGCCTACTTCCCAGGATTGTATGGGGAATGAAATGATACAACATATTCTAAGTGCTCAGCTCAATGCCTGGCACCCAGAGGTCTGCTGCAGGGGTTACCTGGTAGCAGGGTTCGCAGAGGGGTCGCCCATCCTTCTGGTAGAAGCTCTGTCCAGCCAGCTGGCGGCGGCAGTTGCGGCATGTAAAGCACTGGGCATGGTACTGCCTTTTCATGGCCTCCACAGCCAGCTCTCGGGGGGACACGGTCTTGTGGCAGAAGGCACAGATGTCTGGGGTAGGGAAGACACAGGCCATTACTAGCCCAGCCTGCGAGGACTGTACCCAGGCACCACCCAGAACATGCCCAGGGTACCCGAGGCTCTGTCTCAAACCCTGTAAATTCCTCAAATGACAAATACAAAGGGTCATGAGGAGCATTAAAAAGGAATCTGAGTCAGGCGTGGTGGCTCATGCCTGTAATGCCAGCACTTTGGGAGGCCAAGGTGAGCAGATCACTTGAGGCCAGGAGTTCGAGACCAGCCTGGCCAACATGGTGAAATCCCATCTCTACTAAAAATACAAAAATTAGCTGGGCATAGTGGCGTGCCCCTGTAGTCCCAGCTACTCATGGGGCCGAGGCAGGAGAATCATTTGAACCCAGGAGGCAGAGGTTGCAGTGAGCCGAGATTGTGCCACTGCACTCCAGCCTGGGCGACAGAGCGAGACTCTATTTCAAAAAAAAAAAAAAAAACAACGAATTCTGGACAGCAGTTTCAGGACAAAGGGATTGTTGGCTGCCTCGACCTCCCAAAGTGCTAGGAGTACAGGCATGAGCCACTATGCCCAGCCAGGAGCCACTTTTTTATTTTATTTATTTGTTTTTGAGACGGAGGCTCACTCTGTCACCCAGGCTGGAATGCAGTGGCACAATCTCGGCCCACTGCAACCTCTGCCTCCCGGGTTCAAGCAGTTCTCCTGCCTTGGCCTCCCAAGTGGCTGAGATTACAGGCGCGTACCACCACGCCCAGCTAATTTTTGTATTTTTAGTAGAGACAGCATTTCACCATGTTGGCCAGGCTGGTCTCGAACTCCTGACCTCAGGTAATCCACCTGCCTCGGCCTCCCAAAGTGCTGGGATTATAGGTGTGAGCCACCACGCCCGGCCAGGAGCCATTTTATATTCTGATGTGTGACCAGCTCTGAGATGTACGAAGGAAAGAAAGTGAACAGCAGAAGGGCCTAGTTTGCTGCTTATGGAAAAATGGGGCCGGGCGCGGTGGCTCAAGCCTGTAATCCCAGCACTTTGGGAGGCCGAGACGGGCGGATCACGAGGTCAGGAGATCGAGACCATCCTGGCTAACACAGTGAAACCCCGTCTCTACTAAAAAATACAAAAAACTAGCCGGGCGAGGTGACGGTGCCTGTAGTCCCAGCTACTCGGGAGGCTGAGGCGGGAGAATGGCGTGAACCCGGGAGGCGGAGCTTGCAGTGAGCTGAGATCTGGCCACTGCACTCCAGTCTGGGCGGCAGCACGAGACTCCGTCTCAGAAAAAAAAAAAAAAAAAAAAAAAAAAAAGAAAAATGGGGGGAGGGAGTGGGTGGACACATATTTGTATTTGCTTGTGTGTGCACAGTGTCTTTGGCAGGATACATGAGAGCTCAATGACAGAGGACGCCCATCGGGAAGGAAACCAGGTGGTAAGGAGATGGGGCAGGTTGCAGGTTTCTCACTGTGTCCCCACTCATGCTGTTTATTTTGCACCATGTGAGGGCATTAGATATTCAGAAAATAAAATAATGAGACAAAATTTCAAGACATTTTTGTTATCGTAGCAAACTGTGCAGACTAACATTTTAAATAGAATTTAGGTATAAAGGGGAAAAGGCTAAGGCAACACAAATTAAATGGATGCCCAACTACAAAGTCCATCATTGTAACATGAGCTGGGGTGGGGCTGGGAAGGGGCGTCCTCACGCTCCTGGTTTCAACCTGGAAGCCCATGCTGGCCCCATGAGATCCCCCCAGAATCCTCCCAGCCCTGTGCACCCACCTGTGGACGCCTCTTTCTCAGCAGGTTCTGCTGGGGGAGGTGGCAGCTCTTCCTCTACGGGCCTGAGGGGACCGGGCTGGACTGAAGGTCCCTCTGCTGGGGCCTGTGGGGATGCAGACAGGGAATCACCCAGTGGGGACCCCAAGCAACCCTCCCAGCTCTGTTCCTCTTCTGGGTGGCAACGGGTGCAATTAGCCGCATTGCACTGAGAAGGAAACCGAGGCCTAGGGAAGCAAGGGACCTGCCTAAGTCTCTCAGCAGGAAGGTCGCAGTGGCAGCTGACTGGGGTCCCTTGATCAGCCACTGCTCCTCATCCTACTTAGGACTCTCCTGCAACCAAGCTTCCCCGTGGATGCTGGACTGAAGTGAACTAAGCCCTTGGCCTGTGATGCCCCCCATTTCTACACAACCTCTGTTAAGGGCCCAGGGTTAAAAAAAACAGGTTCCTGGCCAGGCGCAGTGGCTCACACCCGTAATTCAAGCACTTTGGGAGGCCGAGCTGGGTGGATCACCTGACGTGAGTAGTTCGAGACCAGCCTGACCAACATGGTGAAACCCCACCTCTACAAAAAGTACAAAAATTAGCCAGGCATGGTGCAGGTGCCTGTAATTCCAGCTACTCAGGAGGCTGTGGCAGGAGAATCACCTTGAACCTGGGAAGCGGAGGCTGCAGGGAGCCAAGATCATGCCACTGCACTCCAGCCTGGGCGACAGAGCAAGACTCCATCTCAAAACCAACCAACCAAACACAAACCAGGTTTCCTATGACCTAAGGGATTAGGTCAGACTCAGGAAAATGTCTTCCTCAGAGCTGAAGCGTGTGTCTGCAGCGGGTGGAGCTGGGAGGCAGTGGCAGCCCTCTCCAGGGACCATGAAACACTTAACCAATTTTTACCTGCTGAATAGGGACTTCTGAGAGCTTCAAAGGACGGCCCCCGAGCAGAAGAATGCACCAGACAAAGTCCAAGTTTAGAACCCCTGAATGCCCAGACTCCCCGTCCCCCAACCCAGGAGACCAAGGGATTGCTGGGGAGGGCAGTACCTGTGGTGGGGGCGGGGGCGGGGACAGGTTCAGCTGCTGTAAGTCTGCAATGAGTGAGGTCCCCATTGGAGCAGGAGCCTCCTCTTCAGAAGGTAGGAGCACCGGAGGGGGCGGTGGAGGGGGCGGGAGGAGGTCCAGGTCAGGAAGCACATCCTCACCATCCAGGACAGGAGGAGGGGGTGGGCATCCTGCAATGGGGGAGGAGAGAGGGCTGGTCAGAGCCTCCCAGGTGGACTGGGGAGGGTTTTACTTACCCACATGGGCACATGGAGGGTAGCTGAGGGCTCGGGTTGGGGTCACCCCGGCCTGGGTTCCATCTCTAACTCTGCCACTGATGTGCTGTGTGTCCTTAGGCAAGAAACTTAATCTTAGGCCAGGAATGGTGGCTCATGCCTATAATCTCAGCACTTTGGGAGGCCGAGGTAGGCAGTTTGCTTGAACCCAGAAGTTCAAGAGCAGCCTGGGCAACATAGTGAAACCTCAACTCTACTAAAAATAAAAAAAAAAATGTAGCCAGACATGGCAGCACAGGCCTGTAATCCCAGCTACTTGGGAGGCTGACATGGGAGGATCACTTAAGCCCAAGAGGTTGAGGCTGCAGTGAGCTTAGATCACACCACTGCACTTCAGACTGGGAGACAGAGCCAGACCCTGTCTCAAAAAAAAAAAAAAAAAAAAAAGGCCAGGTGCAGTGGCTCATGCCTGTAATCCGAGCACTTTGCGGGGCTGAGGCAGGCGGATCACCTGAGGTTGGAAGTTTGAGACCAGCCTGACCAACATGGAGAAACCCCGCGTCTACTAAAAATACAAAATTAGCAGGACGTGGTGGTGCATGCCTATAATCCCAGCTACTGAGGAGGCTGAGGCAGGAGATTTGCTTGAACCCAGGAGGCAGAGGTTGCTGTGAGCTGAGATTGCACCACTGCACTCCAGCCTGGGCCACAAGAGCAAAACACCATCTTAAAAAAAAAAAAAAAAAATTAGGCTGGGCGTGGTGGCTCACGCCTATAATCCCAGCACTTTGGAAGGCTAAGGCGGGCAGATCACCTGAGGCCAGGAGTTTGAGACCAGCCTGGCAACCATGGTGAAACCCCATCTCTACTAAAAACGCAAAAATTAGCTGGGTGTGGTGGTGGGCGCCTGTAGTCCCAGCTACTCAGGAGGCTGAGATAGAAGAATGGCGTGAACCCGGGAGGCAGAACTTGCAGTGAGCCGAGATCGCGCCACTGCACTCCTGCCTGGGCGACAAAGCGAGACTTTGTCTCAAAATATACATATATATATATACACACACACAAAAATTAGCTAGGCTTGGTGGTGAGAGTTTGCAGTCCCAGCTCCTTGGGACGCTGAGGTGGGAGGATCGCTTGAGCGAGGGAGGTTGAGGCTACAGTGAGCCGTGATCACACCACTGCACTGCACTCCAGCTTGGGTGACAGAACAAGACCCTATCTTGGAAAAAAAAAAAAAAAGAAATGCAAATTATGGGGCCCCACGGCAGATCTGCTGAGTCAAGAAATACTTGGGGCGGGACCAGCAGCTGTGCTGGAACAGACCGGTGGCTGTGTTGGTACAGGCCCGGGTGACGCTGCTGCTGCTGCTGACTCAGCGGAAGTGTGAGAACCAGACCCTGATGAGCTCACGGAGTCAGGAACCAGGTGTTGGGGAGGTAGTGTAAGAGTGCTGTGGCCTCTCCCAGTGCCTGCCTCCCAGTGCAGGGCCCACAGGCTGTGATGGGCGGGCAGGAATTCAAGAGAGAAGCAGGGGGACTTGAGGCCCCAGGGCAGGTGGGAAAAAGGGGGTCCCAGACCTGCTCAAGGATGACTCTGAGAGGACAAGCACTAGGCAGACAGCAGATGGCAGCCTTCGGTGTAGACGGTTTCAAGCAGCTGGCAGCATCCCCAGGGCCTGGGGCCAGCCTTTGTGTCAGACCAGGCACATGACCAAGCTGGTCACCTAAAACTTATCTCACTTCAGGGAGACTGAACCCCAAGATCCCTGTGCTCTGTTTGAGGGTATCAAATTGGCAGACAAAACGGCCGGCCAGCCATGCTGACCAGTGGTGACAGGCCAGTCCTTCCCAGGCAAGTTTGATCTTGTTCCCACACTCCCAAGATCCTCTTCCCATAATCCCAACAACCATGAAAATGCCCCAGAAATGCCAGGCGCTACTGCACTCCAGCCTGGGCAACAAGAGCAAAACGCCATCTTAAAAAAAAAACAAAACTTAGTCTGGGTGTGGTGGCTCACGCCTGTCATCCCAGCACTTTCGGAGGCCGAGGCGGACGGATCACGAGGTCAGGAGATCGAGACCATCCTGGCTAACACGGTAAAACCCCGTCTCAACTAAAAATACAAAAATTAGCTGGGTGTGTTGGTGGGCACCTGTAGTCCCAGCTACTGAGGAGAATGGCGTGAACCCGGGAGGCGGAGCTTGCAGTGAGCCGAGATCGTACCACTGTACTCCAGCCTGGGCGACAGAGTAAGACTGTCTCAAAAAAAAAAAAAAAAAAAAAAAAGAGAAAAGAAAAGAAAAAAAGAAAATGTCCCAGACAGAAATTCCGACATCTAGTCTTTATTTCCCAGACTTCCTTGCCCACCCAGAAGGGGCACATATTTTTGTTTCCAGTTGGATCCTATGTCCTGATGTGTGCATTTTGTCAAGATGGCCCTCCTATACAGCGAGGTAGCTGGGAGGAGCCTGTGTTCTTGGGATGCGAGATTAGGAAGGAAAGATCAACGTGGGAGTATCCGTCACAAGGAGGAAGCATGTTCCATGGAAACATATGCGCACTCAAACCCATGTGGCCCCTTGTCTTGACCCCTTTCTGGCTTCCTATAATCAGCACTTCCAACTGATTGCTAGCTGATTTCTATGACAGACAGGGCTGCCCCAGCTCTGCTCAAGGACAGCAAGACACCTGACTAGGCACCTGGAAGACTCCAGGGACTGCTACCCTGGGCTGGCCTCTGCCCCTTAGCATCTCGGCTGGTACCCTGTCAGATGATGACCCACCCCCTGCCCCAGGGCCCTGGGCTGTCACCCTTCCTCACTCCCACCCCGCCTGACAGCTGAGACTTTCCATAGGAGACACACGGCAGAGGACTGGAAGGCTCCCTGTCACCATGGCAACAGGGCCAGTCCGACCAGGCCCAAGGGAATGGAACACTCATTAGTGCTGTGTTCATTTTGTGACTGATGGTCACATCCACACACAAATTTCCACTTTCCAGAAGAGGACCCTGAGGCCCAGAGCAAGGAGAGGACTCACTCCGCTCATACAGCAAGAGAACAGCAAAGCCCAGGAGAAAACAAAGGCACTTTAAAAGACCCTTCACCCACCAAATTCCCTCCTGCCTCAGGGCCTCTGCACCGCCCCTCAGACTTCACTTCCCCCTGGCCAGCTCCATGCTGTCATTCAGGTTTCAGCTGAAATGTCACCTCTTCAGAGAAGCCATCCAGAGCACCCTATGAAAAGCTGCCCCTCAGCCAGGCACAGTGGCTCACACCTGTAATCCTGGCACTTTGGGAGGTCGAGGCGGGCAGATCACCTGAGGTCAGGTGTTCGAGACCAGCCTGAACAACATGGCAAAACCCTGTCTCTACTAAAAATACAAAAATTAGCCAGGCATGGTGGTGCGTGCCTGTAATCCCAGCTACTCAGGAGGCTGAGGCTGAGGCAGGAGAATGGCTTGAACCTGGGAGGTAGAAGTTGCAGTGAGCTGAGACTGTACCACTGCACTCCAGCCTGGTGACAGAGTGAGACTCTGTTTCAAAACAAACAAAAAAGCTGCCCCTCCTCACCCCTCCACCATGCTTCACTCCATGAGAGCGCATGTGTCTGCCCGACATCAGACATCGTATTTTCATTATGTGTGTCCCCACACTGGGATGGAAGCTTCGTGCAGGCTCAAAACCTTATGTCTCAGCACTTTCTGTGTGACATGGATAAGGCTAAACACTCTACATGTATATTAACTCATTTAACCCTCATAACCACATTCCGAGGGAGCTACTATCTTTATCCCTGTTTTACAGATTAGGAAACTGAGGCACGAGAGGTTAAGTGGCCCGCCAACATCACTCAGCTGAGAAATGGAGAAGCCAGGGTTCACACCCAGGCAACTGGGTTCCAGAATCTGCCTGGCACTTAGTAGGCACTCAATGAACGAACGAATGAATGAATGAATGATGCTGGAGCCTGCCCCTTCCTCCCCACCTCTGCCTCTGACCTAGTCTTCCCAAAGTCCCTTCCGCTCTTACCTCCATTGGAAAGCTGCAGAGGTGCAGCTGGCACTGTGGTTGCAGCCTTGCCAGGGGGTGTCCAGGGGCTGGGCCTCCTCGCCAAGCCAGCCTCGGGTGTCTTCACTGGGGCAGGAGCCGCCCAGGGGCGGCCACGCCAGGCCTCACAAACCGCCTGCCTCACTTCCTCCGCCACAGCTACATCGCGGCGCGGGGGTGCCAGGGTGATAAAGACAGACGATGCCACCCTCTTCTCAGGCTTTGAGGCCATGGCTCCAGCTCCTGGTGTGGCTAGGGACAGAGTGGGGCATGGCACGGGATTGCCACCTGGACACACAGACACCCTCCCCCGAGAGGCAGAGAGCCTCCCTCCTCCCAAAAAGACAGGTCAGCCACCCTACCACCCCAACAACTCAGTCCAGCACCCAGCCCAGCCAGAGAGGGGGTGGTGGGTGTCCTGCTGGGGAAAACAGGGCCCACCAGGGGACTTGGCCACGGGGTGAGACCCGGAAGTCCTGACTGCCCCCTCCCGAACCTGCACACCTAGGGAAGCAAAGGGCAGCCCTCACCAATGATCACTTTTCCTCGTCTAACACCTGTGAGAAAGGAACAGCTCCTTCAGCTCCCAGCCCCAGCAGGGCTGACTTCTGTTCCCAGCCTGGAGTCCCGCCTGCCTGCTAGGCCACACCCCAAGTGACCTCCCTCACCTGGGATCAGATTCTCCTGGAAGGGCTGAAGTCCTGGAGGTTCAGGCTAGCTCCACTTTGGAAGGGAAAGAGAACAGATCAGGATCTGTCAGGGCGTCAGGGCTGGGCTCCAATGGCGGAGTGGGCGGGGGCAGTGAGAGCTGCCCTTACCAAGACCTGCTCTGCCCTGAGCACATTATCCTCATTAACTCATAAACACTCACAAGGTGGCTGTGGGGCAAGCACTATCACCACCTACCTAACACATCAAGCAATTGAGACTCAGAGAGAAGTCACCTGTCCAGGGTCACACAATGGTGAGGTAGCATTGGAACCCAGAGCCCATGCTCTTGGCCACTTTGCTCTGCTTTGCCCTTTCCCAGCCCTGCACACGAGCCAGCACCCTCCTTGCTTGCTTTCTAGTACTGGAATCTCTCACTCCACCCAATCTCCAAAACCTGGGTCCTGGCTCAGGCCTGGGCAGTGGGCAGGGGGCAAGGGCAGAGATGGGGAGGTTCCATGGCCTCTGGTCTCACCTCCTAACCCTGATCTTTCTACAGCATCAATCTCTTTCTCCTTTACTCAAAAGCCTTCCATGGGCTGGGCATGGTGGCTCACAGCTGTAATCCCAGCATTTTGGGAGGCTGAGGCAGGTGGATCACTTGACGAGACCACCCTGACCAACATGGTGAACCTCCCCCACCTCTACTAAAGATACAAAAATTAGCCATGCGTGATGGTGGGCACCTGTAATCCCAGCTACTTGAGAGGGTGAGGCTTACTTGAACCTGGGAGGCCGAGGTTGCGGTGAGCCGAGATTGCAACACTGCACTCCAGCCTGGGCAACAGAGCAAGACTCTGTCTTAGAAAAAAAAAAAAAAAGGTGGGAAGTGGTGGCTCATACCTGTAATCCCAGCACTTTGGGAGGCTGAGGCAGGTGGATCACCTGAGATCTAGAGTTCGAGACCAGCCTGGCCAACATGGTTAAACCCCATCTCTACTAAAAATACAAAAATCAGCCGGGTGTACTGGTGGGCGCGTGTAATCCCAGCTATTTGGGAGGCTGAGGCAGGAGAATCACTTGAACCCCTGGGGGTGGAGGCTGCAGTGAGCTGAGATGGTGCCATTGCACTCGAGCCTGGGCAACAAGAGCGAAACTCTGTCCGGAAAAAAAAAAAAAATGCATGGCTCTCCACCACCTCAGGATGAAGTCCAACTGCAGCGGCCTCAGCCTCTTTGAGCCCCTGGACCACTTGCCCTTCCTATGTCCTCTCTCTTGCCTTGCAGTGTTTCTCTTGTGGTTTTCCTCTCCTGCCCCCACAGGGTGAATTTCAGCTTTCTCTTAGAGGCCCAGCTCAAACATCACCTCGTCCACAAGGCGCCCCCTGATTCCTGGCCCTCTCCAAGGGCGGTTTCCTGCTGCCAAGGGTGGAAGAAAGTGATGACAGCCCCAGGGCAGGACAGGCTGGCTCACAAGCTCACTATCAAGGCCTCTGACCTTTAGCGGTGTCTGCATTCTTTGTGTGCCTAGAGGATAACTCAGAGTGCAGGTATCAAAGCACAGATCCAGCTGGGTCGGTGGCTCACACCTGTAATCATAGCACTTTGGGAGGTGGGCGATCACTTGAGGTCAGGAGTTTAAGACCATCCTGGCCAACACGGTGAAACACTGTCTCTACTAAAAATACAAAAATTTGGCCAGGTGTGGTGGCTCATGCCTGTAATCCCAGCATTTTGGGAGGGCAAGGTGGGTGGATCACAAGGTAAGGAGTTCAAGACCACCCTGGCCAAGATGGTGAAACCCTGTCTCTACTAAAAATACAAAAATTAGCTGGGCATGGTGGCGGGCGCCTGTAATCTCAGCTACTCGGGAGGCTGAGCCAGAGAATTGCTCAAACCCGGGAGGCAGAGGTTGCAGTGAGCCGAGATTGCACCACTGCACTCCAGCCTTGGCCACAGAGCAAGACTCTGTCTCAAAAAAAAGAAAAAAAAAAAAAGAACAAAGCTTAGAAGTGGCCCCAGAGGTTTTTTTTTTTTTGGAGTAGGGAATAAGGAGTAGGAAGGAGGGCTGTGGGGGTGGCACCCGTGAGCTGCACATTCACTGCCCCAAGGCTGCAGTCTCTAGCCGGTCTGGGTGGCTGGCTGGATCCCTGCCTCCTTCCTTCCTTTGGACAGGAAATGACTTCCCCCCTCCCTTTGTTCCCACTTTTCTCCACTTATCTAATTGGATCTGTGATTCACTCTGTGGGCGGGGGGGGGGGGGGGGGGGGGAATGAGCCATGTGTGGTGGCATGCACCTGTAGTCCCAGCTACTTAGGAGGCTGAGGCAGGAGAATCAGTTGAATCCTGGGAGGTGGAGGTTGCAGTGAGCTGAGATTGCCCCACTGCTCTCCAGCCTGGGTGACAGTGTGAGACTCTCTTTCAAAAAAAAAAAAACAAAAAACATCAGAGAGCATGGTGGCACCCTGATACCCTGATGTCAGAAAAAGGACATTATTTCCCATCTCTCAGGTAGTTCCTGCTGACAGGAGCCTCTCTGGGCAAGGCTGAGGTGGGGCCACAGGTGGGAAAGCTGGGCGTCCAGTGAGCCCACCAGATCTCACCAGGCACCCAATGCCTGTGCCCAGGGCTAAACATGTCTCCTTTTCCATCTTACTCTTCAGGTTTCCCTCCTTATCTCAAAGTGCACTGGCCACTTTGGGTTCTCAGCCAGTGATGGGTGATAATAAAAACAATAACACGTGCTCCTAAATTCCTGTTAAGTTGGTTTATGTCTTTGGCTAAAATATATAGCTCAGTCTGATAATAAAATATCTATTCTGAGTAAGAAACCAATATATTAGGAAAGAGCTTCAAAACTTATTTAAAAGTACTTCTCTTTTGCTTCCGTGTTTGGAAATGATGTCTGGAAGTATGTATGTTTATGCTGGCTGTCTCAGGCTTTAGTTTTATACTTTGTTATAAGTTTAAGAATCTTTTTTTTTTTTTTTTTTTGAGGCAGAGTCTCGCTCTGTTGCCCAGGCGGGAGTGCAGTGGCCAGATCTCAGCTCACTGCAAGCTCCGCCTCCCGGGTTCACGCCATTCTCCTGCCTCAGCCTCCGGAGTAGCTGGGACTACAGGCGCCTGTCACCTCGCCCGGCTAGTTTTTTGTATTTTTTAGTAGAGACAGTGTTTCACTGTGTTAGCCAGGATGGTCTCGATCTCCTGACCTCGTGATCCGCCCGTCTCGGCCTCCCAAAGTGCTGGGATTACAGGCTTGAGCCACCGCGCCCGGCCAAGAATCTATTTTTGTCAGCCAGGCACGGTGGCTCACGCCTGTAATTCCAGCACTTTGGGAGGCTGAAGCAGGCGCATCATGAGGTCAGGAGATCGAGACCATCCTGGCTAACATGGTGAAACCCCATCTCTACTAAGAAATACAAAAAAACTAGCTGGGCGAGGTAGGGGGCACCTGTAGTCCCAGCTACTTGGGAAGCTGAGGCAGGAGAATGGCGTAAACCCGGGAGGCGAAGCTTGCAGTGAGCTGAGATCCGGCCACTGCACTCCAGCCTGGGCAACAGAGCAAGACTCTGTCTCAAAAAAAAAAAAAAAAGAATCTATTTTTGTATTTTTGTTAACAATGTTCAGAGTGCGTGCATGTGAGATTTAAAGAAATACCAAACAACTCACTGATAAGGCACTTATCTTGTGCCAGGCCCTGTGCCAGGTGCTATATGTGCCTCAAAACTCACCAGCCTCTCAATCTAGCTGCAAGAAAGGCTCATCCTGCCCCCACTTCGTAGATGGACCCTGTAAGGTTCCAAGAAGTGAAGTGACTTTCCCAGGCCATCCATGGCACTCAGAATTCTAATGGAACATCATCCAAAAGTCCCCCCACACACTTTTCCTTCCTTGGGTGGCACAAGGTCGCCCAAGTTCCCAGGCCTGTTCTCACTCTAGAGTGGCCCAATCCAGACCAGAAATCTTGTGGTCGGCACGTTCCGGGCTGGTCCCTAGGGGCTGCTGTGGGCCTTCGGGATGGCCCTCCGCCTCCTCCCACCCAGCCCTGACCCTTCCTCCACTCCTCCAGGAAGTCGGATCTGCCTGGTTTCTCGGAAAATGTCCAGCACTGAGGCCAGATGTTCACAGCTGGGCAGCCCCCATACCTCCCAAGAAGTGACTGTAGGGACCTCAGGCCCCAGGGGGACTAAGCTGGGGAGTTTCAAAGCCCTGTCAATCCCATCAGGAAAGGGAGCCCCGGCTTCCCCCTGGTCCCACTGCCCCCCATTCAGCTGGGAGCAGGCTGTAAGTTTCCCGGGGCAGTGTCCCAGTCAGTCGCGCCCAGGGGACCCTCCGCCCCCACTCTTCCTCCCCCAGAGAGCGCATCACAGATCCAGTTAGATAAGTGGAGAAAAGTGGGAACAAAGGGAGGGAAAGTCATTTCCTGCCCAAAGGAAGGAAGGAGGCAGGGATCCAGCCAGCCACCCAGACCAGCTAGAGGCTGCAGCCTTGGGGCAGAGGATGTGCAGCTCACGGGTGCCACCCCCACAGTCCTCCTTCCTACTCCTTATTCCCTACTCAAAAAAAAAAAAAAAAAAAACACCTCTGGGGCCACCTCTAAGTTTTGCTCTTTTTTTTTTTTTTTTTTTTTGAGACAGAGTCTTGCTCTGGCCCAGGCTGGAGTGCAGTGGTGCAATCCCGGCTCACTGAAACCTCCGCCTCCCAGGTTCAAGCGATTCTCCTGCTTCAGCCTCCGAGTAGCTGGGATTACAGGCGTGCGCCACCACACCCAGCTAACTTTTGTATTTTTAGTAGAGACCGGGTTTCACCATGTTGGCCAGACTAGTCTCCAACTCCTGACCTCAGGTTATCCGCCCGCCTCGGCTTTCCAAAGTGCTGGGATTACAGGCGTGAGCCACCGCGTCCGGCCAGCTTTGTTCTTTAATGACTGGATAAAGCAGTGTACCTTTGGGTACGGAATTAAACTTAGGCAGAGGCGGCGGGGACAGTGCCCCAACCCCTCCCACCTTGCAGCTTAGGGGAGGGATTCCCTCAACCTCTCTCCCACCCCAGGGAAACAGAGGAGGTAGAGAGCTGGGTTCACACGGGGCTCCACTTCTTTCCTGCGGGGTAACCCCGAACAGGTCACCGAAACTCTCTGGTCTCGTTTTTTTTTCATAAAGTGAGAATGAGTGTGTCCCTAGGGCGCTGAGAGTATATATAAAGTAAGAAGGCTCAGGGTCTAGGCCCTCGGAAGGGGCAAAGAGAAGGACAGCTGGGTAGGCAGCGGCTGAGCGGGAGAAGCAGCCCGGGGGCTGGGCTCGGCTGGGGGTGCCTCCAGGACCCGGACAGAGCCTACACCGTCATTAAGAGCAGGAATCTGGGCGCGGCCCCAGCCTCTCCCTGGGGTCCTCAGGCTTGGGCGGGAGGTGAGGGGTAGGGACGGCGCCAAGATCGCCCCAGGGCACACACCTAGGGATCGGCCATCTCCACACCTTCTCAGCCCCCGACAGGCGCGTGAGGCCCAAAGAGGAGCAGCCCCGGGGCCCGTCCCTCCCCTTGCTTGACCCTGGTTGGGAAAAGGGGCCCAGAGCTCCCGGGGGCTCCGGAAACGCGGGACCCTCCGCAGGCAGCCGAGCAGGGCGGCCGCCGGGGTCACCGCGGGGCGCCGCCGCGGCTTTAATTGGATCCATGTGCGGGACTCCGGCCCTTTGTGCGGGAGCTTCCGCCCAGCTCGCCCGATCCCCGGCTCCCGCTCCCGCTCCCGGGCTGGGACTTGGCCCTCCGCCACCCTCACTGAGCCCTCGCCCCGAACCTGCCGACCCCCCGACTCCGGGGACAGAGACCAAGAGACTGGGACGCAAAGGGCGTGAGGACCGCACCCCCCACCCGCAGGCCCCTCCAGGGGCGCCGAGCCAGGGGTCCCGGCTGGGGACAGAGCAGGCTCCGGCCGAGCGCTGCCCGCGCTGTCACCTGTGTGCACCGGGGGCAGGGACGGAGGGACGCGACCCCCACCCACCCGGCCGGCTTACCTGGGCCGCCAGCGTCCCGGCGGCTCCGATCCGACGCCCGCGACAGCGGAGCCCGGAGCCGCGGGGCCTCCCGCCCCCTCCGCCCGTCCGCCCTCCCCGCCCCCTCGGCTCCCTCCGCCCCGCCGCCCCGCGCCGCGTTACCATAAAAGGTGAGGCTCGCGGGGAGGGGGCGCGGGATTCCCGCCCCGCGGAAGCGGCCCCTACCTGCTCCCCAACCTGCCCGGCCGCGCCTCGCGCCGCCCCCTCCCCCTCCCCCTCCCTTTGTTCCCTGTACCATATCTCCCTTCCCCCTTGGCACAGGCCCGGGGGTGGGGATGGGGGGATGGGGAGTGGGGATGGGGGATAGGATGTGGGGATGGGGGGTAGGGGGGATGGGGAGTGGGCGTGGGACGATGGGAGTGGGGGTGGGGTTCCTTCTCTCCCTGTTGCCCACCCCGTCGCATCCTTTATGGACCCCAAGTGGTCCCTGTCCTTCCCCTTCCGTCGCTCTCCTGCGTTGGCGACCCCACCTACCCTGTCCGGCGGAGGTGAACGCTTACACCCTGGTTTGGCTCTGGGATCCGCTGGGGTCCTGCATCAAACCGACCAGGGTTCTGCGGCCGTTCACTAAGCGTGAGACCTGCAGCAGTCAGGCCACCTCCTGAACCTCAGTATCTTCATCTGTAAAGTGGACGTAGCCACTGCCTACCTCTCCAGGTTGTCCTGAGGATAAAAGGTGACAGTCACAGCCAGGACTGTGATCAATAGTGGTTAATATATGCTGGGTTGGGGGCTTTTTCCGGGAGTGTCCCTGGGGGTGGGGGTCTCAGAGACCCCCAGTGGAGCAGGTCACCTTGTTCTGCTCTCCTGGGCCGTAAGCCCTCTGCAGGTGGGTCCCGGTGTCGGGGACAGGCCGCTCCAGGAGCTCTGGAAGGCAGGGCCCGGCTGGTCCTGTGGCTGAACCCCTCCCTCCCCCTCCCAGCTGAAGCAGATAGGACAGGAGCGGGAGGGGAGGCAGAGCCTGGACTCTGGGGCCTGGGATGGGGCCGGGATGGACTGCCTGGGTCCCTGGAGGCCTCAGGAACATTGTGGGGAAAGGAATCTGGGTCTGATTCAGAGGCAAACAGATTGTTCTTTTGATTAAAGCCACAGTGGCTGAGGCTGGAGGAGCGCTGGACCCAGCGCCATCTGCGGGGCAGCCAGGCAGGATCTGGCCCTCTCCTGCAACCCCTCAGCTAGTCACCCCTCCAGGGTGGCTCTGGGACTGGCTCTGGGGCTGTTTCTGAGGCAGGCTGGTTTATGAGGGTCGGAGGAGGCTGCCTCCGCCCTCACCCACTGATCATTGCCTCCCATCCCTCTTGTCGCCCCTTTTTCCGTCTGATCCTCGCAGCCAGGCTGCAGTAACAGCAGCAGTAACTGCAGCAGTCTCAGCGGCTGCCATTGACAGGGGCTTTCTAGGTGCGGGGACCCATCCTCATCCCCATCCTAATCCCACAAGAGCCCTGGGCGCCAGGGCTGGTGATTCCTGTTCACAGTCAAGGACACTGAGGCCCAGAGAGGCTCAAGGCCACACTAGGGGCAAATGACAGAGCCAGATTCAAACCAGAGCCACTGTGTCCCTGGGCACACAGCTCTGCTAGTCTCAGGAACAGGTACCACTGCCACCCTTTACAGATTTGGAAGCCGGGGCTTGTAGGTGATAAGAGTTCTGTGCAGCAGGGCGAGGCTGGAACTCAAGGCTGAGTCCCTGCTCAGCTCATTCCTGGCTTGGCAGTGATATCCTGCCCCCGCAACCCCCACAAAACCTCAGCTTTGCAGCACGCCTTGGAGGAGACTTCCCCATACCCTCCACCGGGAGGGAAACACTGAACGCCAGAGACAGGAAGGACGCAAAGGAGGAAGGTGCGATCTGGGGGTCTTCAGGCGCTTTTGGCTGTAGAACCCCTTTACAAGTGCTTAGTGACCCAGAAGTTTATTGAAGAGATAAAAGTAGAGCTGCCTGCCCTCACCTCCATGACATCCCCTGAACCACCTGTTGCACCCCCAGGTGGGATAGTGAGGCAATGAAGAGTTGATTTGGGGCCTTGTTCAAGGTCACGCTGACAGTCTAGGACCCAGGCTTCCCACATCTGCTCTAGGACAGTCCAAGGGGAATGAGGAGTTCAGCCGCCTCTGCTTACCTGCCTCCAGCACCCCAGGCCGCCTGTTCCCCCGCCACCACTGCTCCCGGCTGGAGGGGTTCGACCTGGCCCGCAGCAGCCCGGGTGTCGATGTCACCGATCGGCAGGTGCCAAACTTCCTGCAACGGAAACCCAGGAAGTGCCCTGGACGAGAACACACGCCCTTTGTCTGCCAGCTCAGAGGCTCTGCTGCCCTCCACCCTCCCTGCCAAGCTCACAAGGGCTTTCTCCTCCCTCATATGGCCCCAGCAGGCAAGGGGCTCAATCTTCTATTAGGATGATGGCAGCTGAGACCCTGAGTGGCAGGGAAGGGGTGGCAGAGAGGTTTGAGGGCTTGCTGGGGTGGGGGTGGTACCTCCACAGTGGAGAGCTTTGACTGAGCAGACACTGGCCGGGCACCCACTGTGTGCAATGCATGAGTCAAGGAGACGACAGGATCAAATCAGACATGATCAGTCCTTGTCCCCACAGACCTTACAGGGAGGTTGGGTGGAGCAAACCATAAAGTAAATTAACATCATAATAACCAATAGTAAAATGTGCTATGAAGGAATGGACAAGGGTCTGAGACAAAAGGGGGTGGGTAGGGGTGAAGTGGGGATGGGAAAACCTCTCTGAGGAGGTGAGGGTTAAGTTGAGATGGGGAGGAGCCAGTGTGAGAATAGGGACGAATATTCCCAGGGAAAGGGGGCAGAGGGGAAAACTTAGGCTTTCAAGGTCAGACATCAGCTTGGCAGACAGCCTCGGAAGCCCCTTGGGCCTCCCAGCTTCTTCCTCCATCCCCCATCCTCCACCCTACCTGCTTGGAGTCAGGTCAGTCCAATGCGTATTTCCTGGGTGCTGCTGTGTGTGGGGCCCTGTGCTAGGCAGGGCAGGGAGAGGAGCAGCATAGAGAAAAGGGAGCTCCCCCATGGTGGCTGGGTCAGATGGGGACACAGATACAGCTGTGAGTAACATCAGTATCTGGAAGCAATTCCAGCTCTGCCATTGGCCAACCTTGGGCAAATCACATCTTTCTGGGCCTCAGTTTCTTCTTGCAAAAGAGGGGTTGCAAACCCAGGTTTGTCCCTTGTGGCTTCATAGCGATAATCTGGTGGGGTAAATGTGGGTAAAAATACTTGGTGCTCAGTAGGTGTTCAAAGATGAATTCCTTTGCTCTCCCCACCACATAAAGGATAGAAGTTTTAGTAAGAGGGACAAAGTGCTGAAGGGAAGGGAAGGATGTGACTTTGTCCTGCAAGAGAATCCAAGGAACATCCATGGCTCCTGATAGCCCAGCACTGCTTTCCCTGATTCTGATAACCAGTCAGTTTCTGTTTGGGGAACCTCTCTTCCACTCTCAGTGCCTGGGGTTAAGATGGGACTCCTACATCCCCTGGCTCTGCAGATGTATGTATACATGACCCATGTCTAGCCAATCATGGTGGCTGTTAGTTCTAAAATAAGCTCTCTGGGCTTGTTGACTGGCAGAATACAAGCTTGACACCACTTTTGCCCCTCACTTGGACCACCACAGAGGACAGCAGAGCAAAGAGAGAAAGAAAGATAACTGATTTCATCACTTAAGCTGCTGGATCCAGCCATGCCTGCAATCCTACTACCAGACCTCCAGAGTCAATGCATTTTTTCCCCTTATTTTTTATTTTTTATTCTTTTGAGACAGAGTCTTGCTCTGTCACCCAGACTGGAGTACAACTATGGGCTCCCTTACTTTTTCTTTTCTTTTCTTTTTTTTTTTTTTTTGAGACAGAGTCTTGCTCTGTCACTCAGGCTGGAGTGCAGTGGCGTGATTTCCTGCCTCAGCCTCCCCAGCAGCTGGGACTACAGGTGCACGCCACCATGCCTGGCTAATTTTTTTGTATTTCTTTTTTAGTAGAGATGGGGTTTCACCGTGTTAGCCAGGATGGTCTCGATCTCCTGACCTCGTGATCCGCCCACCTCGGCCTCCCAAAGTGCTGGGATTACAGGCATGAGCCACCGTGCCTGGCCCTTACTTTTTCTTAAACCAGTTAAAATTGTGTTTCTCCAGTTATTTGTTGCGCTTTTTCTCCTTGTTCTAAATAAATAGTCATGAGGCTGGGTGCAGTGGCTCATGCCTATAATCACAACACTTTGGGAGGCCAAGGCAGGCAGATCGTTTGAGGTCAGGAGTTTGAAACCAGCCTGGCCAACATGTCAAAACCCTGTCTCTACTAGAAATACAAAAATTAGCCAGGCATGGTGGCAGGCGCCTGTAATCCCCGCTACTCGGGGGGCTAAGGCAGGAGAATTGCTTGAACCCTGGAGGTGGAAGTTGCAGTGAGCCGAGATTGTGCCACTACACTCCAGCCTAGACAACGCGAGACTCCACCAAAAAAGAAAAAAGGAAAAAAAGTCAAGTGGGAATTGACCAGGCCACAGCTAGAGCCACATGGTGTCCACTCTCAGGCTCCAATCCTGTGTCCAACTGCCTTAACCCAGGCAGATCCCAGCTTCCCAAGACCTGGCTGTGACAATATTGTCTGGGTGTTAATCCCCCTCAGGTTTAGGGGCCTGAACTGGCTCTGACCAGGCGTGCTGGTTCCCACGGCCAGGCCGTCCACTCAGCAAATCAGCACAGGCTCCAGGGTGAGGAGGGTGAGAAGTGTGGGAGAGGCCAAGGAGGGGCCTGAGGCTCAGCGGACTGAGGGGGCCCCTCCTCGCCCTAGGCCTTGCCAGTCAGGGCCCCTCTGCCCCTTATTTGGGAGGGTCTCTGAGCCAGCCCCAAACCCTCACTGATCTCAGTCCCCTCCTTGAGCCCCCATCCCACTGGGATCCTCCACTCCCAGCAGCATCTATCCCGCCATCCGCCCTTGCTGATCTATCTCCACACCCTCAAGCCCTGAGCCTTCTCCTCACTAAAGCACAACGTGGCCCGGAACCTGCCATTGCCCCTGTGGGTCTCCCCCTCTTCTCTCTTAGCCAGAGGTGGGCTTATTGTGAAGTTAATAAAACTGACGCTCATGGCCTTACTTCCATGGCCCCTGTGAAGGCTGGGAGTTGCTCGGAGTTACAGAGTGTTCTAGACAAGGAGGGAAGCCGGTTTCACTCAGGAAGCATGTCCATGAGGCACGCCTAGCAAACTGTCCAGGGAGACCTCAGAAGAACGACCCAAATCTCCAAGTCTCCAGTCATTTATTGTGCTTTTTCTCCTTGTTCTAAATAGTCACTTTTGGCCAGGCACAGTGGCTCAAGCCTGTAATCCCAGCATTTTGGGAGACTGAGGCGGGCGGATCACCTGACATCAGGAGTTCGAGACCATCCCAGCAAACATGGTGAAACCCCGTCTCTACTAAAAATGCAAAAATTAGCTGGTCGTGGTGGTGCGCGCCTGTAATCCCAGGTACTCAGTAGGCTGAGGCAAGAGAATTGCTTGAACTCAGGAGGCGGAGGTTGCAGTGAGCGGAGATCGTGCCATTGCACTCCAGCCTGGGCGACATGGTGAGGCTCTGTTCTCCCCCTCACCCAAAAAAAATAGTCACTTTCATATGAATTCTGTATTATTTTTCCTAAAGGGAGTCCTTAAAATTGGATCTGCCTTGCTGTTTTTATTTTATTTTATTTTGAGATAGGATCTTGCTCTATCGCCCAGGCTGGAGTGCAATGGTGTGACTATGGTTCACTGCAGCCTCCACCTCCTGGACCCAAGTGATCCTCCCACCTCAGCCTCCTGAGCAGCTGAGAGTACAGGCGCATGCCACTATGCCCAGCTATTTTATTTATTTATTTATTTATTTTTTGAGATGGAGTCTCGCTCTGTCACCCAGGCTGGAGTGCAGTGGCGCAAGCTCTGCCTCCCAGGTTCACGCCATTCTCCTGCCTCAGCCTCCTGAGTAGCTGGGATTACAGGCACCCACCACCACACCCAGCTAGTTTTTTGTATTTTTAGTAGAGATGGGGTTTCACCATGTTAGCCAGGATGGTCTCAAACTCCTGACCTCGTGATCTACCTGCCTCAACCTCCCAAAATGTAATTTTTTTTTATTATTTGTAGAGATGAGGTCTCACTATGTTGCCCAGACTGGCCTTGAACTCCTGGGCTCACAAAATCCTCCTGTCTTGGCCTCCCAAAGTGTTGGGATTACAGGCGTGAGCCACTACACCTGGCCCGTATGCCTCACTCTTATTCTTTACAATCCCCTCTTCTCACAGTAGCCAGAACACCTCACTAAAGCAGCATCTAACACCCTTCTGTGCATAGCCCTCTGTGGCTCCCCGCTGCTCTCCGGGACAACGCCAAGCCCCTCACCCTGGCCCTGTGTGATCCCACCCCCACCCACCCCTGAGACAGCATCTCCCACCACTGCACCCCTCACCCGCTCTGCTGCAGCGGCACTGACCCCTCCTCAGTCCCTCAGGCAACTCTGGAGCCTTGAAACCTGCCTGGGCTTCAATACCATCCCCTTGGCCTGGGAATGCTTGTCTTCTCACCTGGGTTACTCCAAATGCTTCCAAACTATTCTGAAAACAGCCACGAGAGGACTCCTCTCAAGATGTACATCAGCGGGCCGGGCGCGGTGGCTCAAGCCTGTAATCCCAGCACTTTGGGAGGCCGAGACGGGCGGATCACAAGGTCAGGAGATCGAGACCATCCTGGCTAACACGGTGAAACCCCGTCTCTACTAAAAAAATACAAAAAAACTAGCCGGCAAGGTGGCGGCCGCCTGTAGTCCCAGCTACTAGGGAGGCTGAGGCAGGAGAATGGCATGAACCCGGGAGGTGGAGCTTGCAGTGAGCTGAGATCCGGCCACTGCACTCCAGCTTGGGTGACAGAGCAAGACTCCGTCTAAAAAAAAAAAAAAAAAAGATGTACATCAGCTCCTGTCATGTCCTCATGCGAAACCCTCCACTGGCTCCCCTCAGGGCAACGCAATCCAAAGCCTTGCCCAGCGCTCCAGGCCCTGCCGCTCCACCCTCTCTGGCTCTGTCACCCAGGCAGGAGTGCAGTGGTGCGATCTGGGCTCACTGCAACCTTTGCTCCTGGGTTCAAGCAATTCTCTGCCTCAGCCTCCCAAGTAGCTGGGATTACAGGCACCCACCACCACACCTGGCTAATTTTGGAATCTCTAGTAGAGACGGGGTTTCACCATGTTGGCCAGGCTGGTCTTGAATTCCTGACCTCGTGATCCACCCACCTCAGCCTCCCAAAGTGCTGGGATTACAGGCGTGTGCCACTGTGCCCTGCTCTACCACCTTCCTAAATCCCCTGGCCTGTTCCTGCCACAAGGCCCTTGCTGAGCTGTCTTCTTGGCCTGGGAAGTTCTTCCCTCCGCTGTTTGCTTGGTTGTCCCCTGACTCTGTTCAGGTCTCTGCTCCAATGCCCCTCCTCACAGGAGCCCTCCGTGGACGGCAGCTTCTGAGATGCCCTCAGGATCCCCACCTCCTGGGATCCATGCCTTCCCCTCGGGTGGGTGGGACCTGGGGACCTTTCCTCAGCGATAGACTGTGACCAAAACAATAGGATGTCACTTTCAGCATTGAGACAAAAAGACGGCAGCAGCGTGGGCTTGCTTGTCCTCCACCCCCTCCCCGGCCGGCTCTGAGGAAAGCCGGCTGCCACGCTGTAGGGCTGCCCTGCAGGAGGCCCAAGTGGCAAGGAAGAAGGGAGGTCCTGGGCCTTAAGATGACTCCACGGCCTCGGTGACACCTTGACAGCAGCCCTGAGACATAGGACCTGGCTCAGCAGCACCCAGATCCCTGACACACAGAAAGAGCAAGACGATCGATGTCTGTTGTTTTAAACTCTTCAAGTTTGGGGGTAATTTGTGACGCAGCTGTAGATAACAAATACACCTTCTGTCACTCCTGCCCACCCCCCCACCCCCCGTTGTCACTCTGTCCCCTGACCCGGCTTTAATTTTGTTTGTTTGTTTTGAGACAGAGTCTCACTCTGATGTCTGGCTGAAGTGCAGTGGCATGATCTCAGTTCACTACAATCTCCGCCTCCCGGGTTCAAGCGATTCTCCTGCCTCAGCCTCCCAAGTAGCTGGGATTACAGGCATGCGCCACCACACCCAGCTAATTTTGTATTTTTAGTAGATCCGGGGTTTCTCCATGTTGGTCAGGCTGGTCTCGAACTCCTGGCCTCAGGCGATCCACCCGCCTCAGCCTCCCGAAATGCTGGGATTACAGGCTTGAGCCACCACACCCAGCCTCCGGCTTTACTTTTCTTTGCACATTTTGTGGAGGGGAACCTCCCTTACTCTTCCCAGCATCCCCAATGCCAGCTTAATGTCTGGCTCCACGCAGCTACTCAGTGATGACTTACTGAATGAATGAATGGGTGAAGAAATGCAAGGCCTCAGAAAGAAAATGCCAGAGCTCAGAAAAGCCAGAAGTAGGGGGCTTAGGATGGGGAGGCCAGCTTACCCCAATCCCAGCCGCCCAGGGGTCACTACCCACTTTACGCAGGGCCTAGGGACACTGGTCCCCAACCTCTTCAGCACGATGTTGCCCTGACCCTAGGATCTTGGTCCTGGAGGTCAGGGCCCAGGGGTCAGGCTCTTAGGGTCCCCATGAGGTACTGGTCCCAGCCTCATGCTTTGCCCAGACCACACAATTTGGATTGTCCTATGCCTGCTGGACTTCAGGCCTATTTTTCTCCATTTGGTGTGGAGATTTGCTAAATGCCTCATTTAGAGGGAGCTCATTTTATGCCCTTGTCAGTATTTTCACAAAAATACTTCGATAAGAAAAGAATGCTATTCCAGCCCACGTGTCCTGATTTTTGTTTGGAAAACAATCCCTGTGCCCATAAAAAGGAAAGGACTGCTGAGTCCAGTCCCCTCCTGGTCCTGTCCCTAATGGGGCCCAGGCTGTGCCAGCGATCGAGAGGCTGAAGCACATTCCAGCAAAAACACTGGCCCCTGCTTGGAACCCAGAGCCCAGTCTGGGTCCGGCAAGGGCTGGCCCTGTGCCCACCCAGCTGAGCCATTTCCTCCCAGACTGGGGCACATTTCCTGCCCGGAGGGAACAGAGCGCATTCCCAGGCCGGGTGCACTGGGTCCTGTATTGGGGGAGGGGATTCCATAGGCATTTCCCCGACCCCAGCGACCACACCGTGGGATGAGAGGCCTGTCCTGGTGGTAGGGCTAGGAGCACGGTTCAAAGGGTGGGCTGGAGCTGTCCAAGGGGTGGCCATTCCTGGGGGAATGAGCTGAAACCACCCGGCCCAGCCTTGGGTGTAGCCTGCTCTGTAGCCCAGGCGCGCTGAGCGTAGAGCGTTAAGGATCCTTGGGTCACCCCTGCCTGTCCCAAGCAGCAGTCTTCGGGTGAATGTGGTGCCTTTGTCAAGAGGGAGGGACCCATCAGAGCCTGGAATCCTCAAGGTGCCCTCTCCAGGCCTCCCCTCCTCCCTAATGCCTTCCTGGCCACCCCCACACCTCTCAAACCTCCTCCAGAAAGACCACTGGCTGGGAGGTTCCTTTGCCCTGTGGGGCTTCCCCTAGGAAAGGGCCCTGAGGTGCAGCCCTGGATCCCCATAGAATCAAAGGGCCCTGGGGACTGGGGCTGGGCTTCCTTGCACCAAAGTGGCTGCAACCGCATTCCAGAACCTGCTGGTAATGGAGCCATATTTCTCATCTCTGTTAGTTTCCCTGGCCCCAGATTTTCAACAAGGAGAGGGGAGCAGGGAGCATTCAAAGCACTTGAGTCTGGGGGCCAGGCCACCTGGATTCAAATCCTGGCTTTGCTACTTAATGCCTGTGCGCCCTTGAGCAAGTCACTTAACCTCGGTGAGCCTCAGTTTCTGACTCTGTAAAAAGGGGTAACAGGGCCTGCCTCTTGGGGCTGATGTCAAAAAGAAATGAAACAGGGAAAGTACCCGGCACATGGCAGTGGTCATTCTTCTGCCAGGCTCAGAGAGGGGTAGTGGCTTGTCCAAGATCACACAGAGGGTAGGCAGAGGAGCTGATACCCAACCCTTTGACCTTCCTGAGCTGGGCCCTGAACGGGCTGAGATGGGAAGGATGCTCATGGCCTTCAAGAAGTCAGGGTTGGGGCTGGAGACCACAGAGCACCCAGCAGAGGCCTGGTCAGCATCGTGTGTCCTTCAGCTGTTTCCCAGCCTGGGATGGGAGAGGACATGGCTGCTATCCACCCAAGACTGCAGGTGGGTGCCAGACCAAGTGTCCATCCCCGCCGTCCCCCTCACCTCCTCGCCACTCTACCTGGTTCTCTACCCAGAATGGTTTTTCTCAGTCTGCAAGGAGCCATGTCCCCCAGGGGACCCAGCCCAGGCCAGCCTGAGGCACATATCCCAGGACCTGTCAGAAGAGCTGTGTCGCCTCAGACACAGCTTTCCCTCTCTCTGTGTTTTTGATTATTCTTTGTTGTTGTTGTTTTGTTTCTGAGACAGAGTCTTGCTATGTTGCCCAGGCTGGAGTGCGGTGGCACGATCTCGGCTCACTGGAAACTCTGCCTCCTGGGTTCAAGCAGTTCTCCTGACTCAGCCTCCTCAGTAGCTAGGATTACAGGCATAAGCCACCATGCCCAGCTAATTTTTGTATTTTTGGTAGAGACAGGGTTTCACCATCTTGGCCAGGCTGGTCTTGAACCCCTGATCTTAGGTGATCCGCCGGCCTTAGCCTCCTAAAGTATTGGGATTACAGGCATGAGCCACCATGCCTGGCCTCTGTGTGTTTGTGATTCTAAGCACAGGTGGATAAAGTCATTGTCTTTATTGTCCATGGAAAAGGGAAGGCAGACCAGTAAAGGGGGAGCCCTCCTGAGGATGCACCCCCCACCCCTGCCCAGGAAGGCAGGTCTGAGGGGCTGCATCATTGCCCACCCTGAGAAAAAGAGGGTTCAACCAGGGGCCCCTAGGTGTCCCCTCTACAGAGGCTCCCATCGCCAAATCCTGCCTTCCCTTCTTGGGGTTCCTAGGGCCTGTGTTGAGCTCTGGGCAGGGGGCCAGCCCTGCCACTCTGCCTCCAGGCATCGCCCTGGGGTCAAGGCCTCGAAGGTCAGGCTGGTGGGCTTGAGACAGACTCCAGATCCTCCCTGAGGCAGGTCAGGAGGGGACCGAACTCTGGGACTGGGGTGCCGAGGGCAGGGGCTGGCTTGGTGTTGACACTGGAGGCCTCTGGGATGGAAAATCCTGAGGAAAGGCATTGAGAATGACACCACCATTCACCATCCCCCTGGGGGCCTTGGGCCTCTAGTGACCCGGGCACTTTCTCCCACTTGGGCCTCTGGGTTGCTGCTGGAGAGGGCTGTGGACAGGGTAGGGGGTGCTAGTGACCTAGAGGATAGCCCTGGCCTGATGACAGAGGGTGGGAGAGGTGATTCCAGCTCCTTCTGCCCCTGACCCCCAACAGAGCTCACCCTGGCTCTGTCTTTTTTTTTGGAGACAGAGTCTCACTCTGTTGTCCGGGCTGGAGTGCAGTGGCACGATCTTGGCTCACTGCAACCTCTGCCTCCTGGGTTCAAGTGATTCTTAGGCCTCAACCTCCTGAGTATTTGGGATTACATGTGTGAGCGACCGTGCCCAGCTGGCTCTTCTTAAACTTGAGCCTCTTAAGGCTCCTGGGCTGTTTGAAGCAGAGATTGTCTGCGGGACACGTTGGATGGGGGTGCCCACCTGTATCTGGCAGAGGTCAAGCAGGGTGCGGACGCCCACCAGACACCAGAGCTCGCCCAGCAGGGAGACAAAGATGCCCAGCAGGTCCAGCCAGCGGCCCACGGTCAGCAGCAGCACGAAGAGGCCGCCCATGCGCACCAGCACCGTCTGCACTTTGCTCTGCAGGCCGGGGTGCTGCCGCTGCTCCTCTGTGGAATGCGGGTGCCTGTCACCGTCCAACCCCACACCCCCAACTGGGCCTCCCGGCTCCCTGACCCACCCTCCACAGGACAAGCCTTTCGCTCCGTGCAGCCCTCCTCCCATCACAACCTCCTGATCCCCACCCCTTCTCCGAGTATCTGCAGGGCACCAGGCGCTCTGCCTCCAGGACTCACTGCCCAGCCCACAAGCCTACCACTGGTGCAGGCCAGAACCCCGCAGCCTCGCAGCCTCGCAGCCTCGCAGTGGCAGGAGTCAGCCTGACTCCTCTCTTTGCTGCACACCCGCCTCTAGTCCCTCAGTTAGCCCTGGCAACTCCTTCTACCAAGCACATTCCCAGCTGAGCACCTCTCATCACCCCCATGGACCCACCTGGGCTTAACCACATTCCTCTTTCCAAGAAGTTTCCTTGCCAGACTCCTGGCTTCTGTTCTTTTTTTTTTGGAGTGCAGTGCAGTGGCACGATCTTGGCTCACTGCAACCTCCGCCTCCCAGGTTCAAGTGATTCTCCTGCCGAGTAGCTGGGATTACAGGCGCACACCACCACACCCATCTAATTTTTTGCATTTTTAGTAGAGACAGGGTTTTGCCATGTTGGCCAGGCTGGTTTTGAACTCCTGACCTCAAGTGATCCGTCTGCCTCAGCACGCCCAGCCCCGTTCTTTTTGTTTGTTTGTTTTTTGAGACAGAGTCCAGCTATTCGGGAGGCTGAGGCAGGAGAGTTGCTTGAACTCAGTTGGAGGTTGCAGTGAGCCGAGATCGTGCCACTGCACTCCAGCCTGGGCAACAAAGCAAGACTCCATCTCAAAACAAAACAAAATAGCAACAATGAAAAACCCTGCAGTAGGCTGGGCATGGTGGCTCATGCCTGTAATCCCAACATTTTGGGAGGCTGAGGTAGGTGGATTGCTTGAGCCCAAGAATTCAAGACCTGCCTGGGCAACATGGCAAGACTCCTTCTTTTTTTTTTTTTTTGAGACGGAGTTTCATTCCTGTTGCCCAGGCTGGAGTACAATGGTGCAATCTTGGCTCACTGCAACCTCCACCTCCCTGGTTCAAGCAATTCTGCCTCAGCCTCCCAAGTAGCTGGGATTACAGGCACCTGCCACCACACCTGGCTAATTTTTATATTTTTAGTAGAGACGGAGTTTCACCACGTTGGCCAAGCTGGTCTCGAACTCCCGACCTCAGGTGATCCACCTGCCTCGACCTCCCAAAGTGCTGGGATTACAGGCGTGAGTCACCACGCCCGGCCAAGACCCTTTCTTTCTTTCCTTTCTCTCTTTCTTTCTTTTTTTTTTTTTCTTTCTTTCTTTCGAGACAGAATCTCTCTCTGTCGCCCAAGCTGGAGTGCAGTGGTTTGATCCTGGCTCACTGCAACCTCTACCTCCTGGGTTCAAGCGATTCTTGTGCCTCAGCCTCCTAGGTAGCTGGATTACAGGCACAGACCACCACACTGGGCTAATTTTGTATTTTTAGTACAGGCAGGGTTTTACCATGTTGGTAGGCTGGTCTTGAACTCCTGACCTCAAGTGATTTGCCTGTCTCAGCCTCCCAAAGTGCAGAGATTATAGGTGTGAGCCACTGTGCCCGGCTGACCCCTTCTCTACAAAAAATAAAATTAGCCTGGCACAGAGGTGTGTGTCTGTAATCCCCACAATTTGGGAGGCCGAGGTGAGAGTTACACTCTTGTTGCCCAGGCTGGAGCGCAATGGCACGATCTAGGCCACCAAGCAAGACCCTGTCTCCAAAAAACAGAAAAGCAAAACAAAACAAAAACACAAACAAACTTGTACAGCGGCCTCTTATCAGGCTTCCCCGCCTGGCTGATGAGGGCTCTCCGACGGGCCCCTTCGAACCTGGCCAGCCTCACCCCTTCCCTGTGCCCTTGGGATGACAGCCACACTGACTCCTGTGGCTTGTTTGGCGCTGCCATGCCCTCTCTCCCCCCTGGGCATTGGCACATGCGGTTCTCTCTGTCCAAGATTCCCTTCCCTGCCTCACTTCTCTTAGGGATCTCCGCTTATCCTTCACGGCCCAATCTAAAGGCTACCCCCTCAGGGTGCCCACAGCATGCTGCTTCTCTGTGCTGCCCCTGCCACACAGCCTCTGTCCTGACCAGGCTCTCTAGGATGGCAAGAGTGAGGACTGACAGCTGTCGGCCTCCCGGAGCCTGGCCCAGACAGAGGAATGTGCGTGGATGGAATGGACGGGCCCCGCAGGGCTCACCCTGCATGTAGATGACCAGCAGCGTGTAGCAGATGGTGAGCGGTGTCCAGAACCGCACGGCCTCCGAGGTGGTCAGGAAGTCCTGGTTGATGAGGGCCACAGCTGCCAGGTCACCCACGGCAAAGGCCACGGCCAGGGCGCGGCCCAGCAGCTGGGGGAGGCCGTGCGCACCGGCCAGCAGGCCCAGGCACACCCCACAGTAGTGCTGGCTGCTGTGCAGCTCGTAGAGGCGGCAGACGTGGCGGCGGAGGCGCCGGGCACCCAGACCCAGCAGCATGGCCAGCCCGAGGCTCAGCAGCAGGTTCAGCGTGCGGTGAGGGGCGCCCTCCTGCAGGAAGCTCAGGCCGCAGGTCAGCCCGCAGCCCAGTGAGTACTGGCACAGCAGGTAAAGCTGCAGCCTCTCGGCAGCACCCTGGGAGCCCTGTGGGGAGCGCAGAAGAGGGGCCAAGATGTGGGGGCTGCCTCACTACAGCTGCTGCCCGCCACAGGAGGCCGGAGCCTGAAGGGACCTTGGGGATAATTCCTGAAGGGGCCACATCGGCGTCAGATGAAGCCCTAGGGGATCATCTCTCTCACCTTAATTTCAATCGTGGTTTGTTTTTTTTTTTTGAGACAGTCTTGCTCTGTCACCCAGGCTGGAGTGCAGTAGCTCAATCTCTGCTCACTGAAACCTCTGCCTCCTGACTTCAAGTGATTCTCCTGCCTCAGCCTCCCAAGTAGCTGGGATTACAGGCATGTGCCCCCGCGCCCAGCTAATCTGTTTGTTTTTGTTTTTGTTTTTTGATAGGGTTTCTCCATGTTGGCCAGGCTTGTCTTGAAATCCTAACCTCAGGTGATCTGACGGCCTCAGCATCCCAAAGTGCTGGGATCACAGGCGTGAGCCACCGCACCCGGCCTCCAATCACGTCTTAGTACTTGGGGCCCATCTGTTAGCTGAAGGGTGGTGGTTCAGAGACTCAGAGACCTGGGTCCAAAGCCTGACTCTACCTGTTGACCATAAACAAGCCACATACTCTCTGAGCCTTAGTTTCCCCATCTGTGAAATGGGGAATCAGAGCAAACCTTTACTCCTGTGGCTGTGAGGATTCCATAATGCACACAGTGCACTTGGTGCAGGGCCTGGCATTCGGGGAGCCGGATCTACAGGAGCTCTCGCTCTTGTCTTCTTGGGACTGGGACTGTATCCCCTGTGAGTGTTGCTGCTTCAGCAGCCAAACCCGAGGGTGCAACCTGCAGCCTCTGTTCCCAGTCTTACAGAAAATACAGCGAACAGGCTGGGATGCTGGACCTGGGCTCTGCTGCCCACGTTCCGGTGGTGAGTCCGGGCTCTGGGCTGGGGAGTGATCCACCCACTGCCTTCCCAGAGGCCTCACCTTGTCCAGTGACAGCAGCGTGGACACAGCCCGGAGGGAGAACTCAAGCACCACGAGGGCAGCCACCCGGGACCCCACGACCGTCAGAAACAGGGCCAGCCCTGCCAGGTGCACTGTTTCCAGTGAGGCCCACTGGGCCCGAAGCCGCTCCTTTTCGGGCCACCGCTGCGGGTCACTGTGGGGACAGAATGGGTGTGGGCAGGGGTGCAGAACTGCCACCCTCGACCCCTGGTGGGGGTCCCCGTACCCCCAGCCACATTCCCTGTGGGGATGAGGTGGGAACTCACTTGGCACAGCCCACGAAGAAGTAAACTTTCAGGAGGCTATTCAGGACCAAGACTCCAAGGGCCCCGATCAGGCCTGAGGGGGCAGGAGGGAGGCAGCAAGGCAGCGAGGCAGCATGCAGGGGTGTTAGGAGGGCAGGCTTGGTTGGTAGGGTCAGAGGAGGGGGCGGCCAAGGGTCAGGGGTGGCGGGAGACCAGGTGGGTGGGGTCCACCCTGCACTGCAAAGAGCTGGAAGGGGGCGGGGCCAAGGCAGGAATGGGGCGAGGTGCTCACCTTGCAGGAGGGAGTGGAGGAGGCTAGAACCCCACTCGAGGGAGGGGAGGCCGGGGAGCCAGGAGGGGAGGGATGGCAGGGAGAACATGGCAGCCCCGGAACGGCCAGGTCTGCGCAGGGACAGACCTACGTCACTGGGCAAAGGTGTCAGTGGAGGGAAGGAGAGAGGCTGGGAGGGGTCAAAGGCCCAGGGGAGGGGAGGGGAGGGGAGGAGAGCCAGGGGTGTTAACCCTTTGAGGCCCAGAAGGGCAAGGTCCCAGCTCCAAGGGACAGGTGTCTCTAGGCTGGTCTGTGGTCTCTGTCCCTGCTAAAAGTCTGGCATCCACTTTACTTGAAATCTTCCTTGAGGGAGGCCAGGCGCAGGGGCTCACACCTGTAATCCCAGCACTTTGGGAGCCTGAGGCAGGTAGATCACGAGGTCGGGAGTTCGAGACCAGCCTAACCAATATGGTGAACCCATCTCTACTAAAAATACAAAAAATTAGCCGGGCATGGTGGCAGGCACCTGTAATCCCAGCTACTCTGGAGGCTGAGGCAGGAGAATGGCTTGAACCCAGGAGGGGGAGGTTGCAGTGAGCCGAGATCACGCCATTGCACTCCAGCCTGGGCAACAGAGCAAGACTCTGTCTCAAAAAAAAGAAAGAAATCTTCCTTGAGGGCTTGGACCACCCAATGCCCCTTCGAAGCCCGGGGCTCCATCTGTCTTGCACAGCCTTAGGTGTGGGTCCTTCCTCTCGCAGCCTGAAGTGTGGGCTCTGCTCCTTCAGCCCAGGGTCTGAGAGTAGGGACTTTATCCCCCCATAGCTAGAGATCATCGGTGCCCTCTCAGCCTGAGGTCTGGGGCTCTCTTCCCCCACAGCCAGAGGTCAGCTCTGCCTGCTTTTTGTAAGGTCTGGTTCCAGCTTCCCAAAGCCTTCCGTCCGGCTCTGACCCGGTGTGGAATCTCCCGCAGCCCGAGCCCACCTGAGCCTTCTCCTCCCACAGACCGGGACCGCGCTTCTTGATGCTCCTCCCTGGTCCACTAGGTGGCAGGCCTCACCTGGGTCCAGCAGGGCGAGGCTGAACAGGTGGATACGGCTCCCATCCTGCTTTCACAAACAGAAAGGGCAGAGGGAGCAGAAGGTGGGGGTCAGGGATGGGGGAGACTGAGACTGGCCACAGAGGGGGTTCGCTGAAGTAAACAAAATATAAAACTTTATTGGTTTGGAGTGTGCAGTAGCAGGTGTTCCTGGGAACAACCCTTACAGACTCGGGGTGTGGCTGGGAGGGCAGGTGGGGCTGCTTGGCAGCAGTGCTGCCCCTGCCAGGGAGTTGGTGTCCATCTCTGCAGTGCGAAGGTTGGTGCGGCGTTGAGAGCACACCCATGGGGAGTGGTGCTCAGTCTAGAGAAAGGGCCCAGGGTCTGCTGCTGGCCCTGCCACATTGCTTCCCTTTCCCGGGCCTCAGTACCCTCATCTGAACAATGGGCACTCGGAGTTCCTTTCAGGCTTGTCAGGATATGTGCAAATGCCCACAGTGCGGGCTGCTGGGAGGCCTGCCGTGAGAGCCCTTAGATGATGTTGGCTGAGGCCGGGCGTGGTGGCTCACACCTGTAATCCCAGCACTTTGGGAGGCTGAGGTGAGCAGCAAGGTCAAGAGTTCAAGACCCACCTGGCCAACACAGTGAAAGCCCATCTCTACTAAAAATGCAAAATTAGTTGGGCATGGTGGTGCACGCCTGTAGTCCCAGCAACTCGGGAGGCTGAGGCAGGAGAATCACTTGAACCTGGGAGGTGGAGGTTGTGGTGAGCCAAGATTGCACCACTGCACTCCAGCCTGAGCAACAAAGCGAGATTCCATCTCAAAAAAAAAAAAAAAAAAAAAAAGATGATGGTGGCTGAACTGCGGCCCCTGCAAATGTGCATGTTGAAGTCCTACCCTCTAGTAGCTCAGGATGTGACTGCATATGGAGATAGGCTCTTGACAGAGATAATTAAGTTAAAATTGGGCCAAATGAGGTGGCTCATGCCTGTAATCCCAGCACTTTCGGAGGCTAAGGCCAGTGGATCACTTGAGGTCAGGAGTTCGAGACCAGTCTGGCCAACATGGCGAAACCCCGTCTCTACTAAAGATACAAAAATTAGCCAGGTGTGGTGCTGGGCGCCTGTAGTCCCAGCTACTCGGGAGGCTGAGGCAGGAGAATTGCTTGAACCTGGGAGGCCAAGGTTTCAGTGAACCGAGATCATGCCACTGCACTCCAGCTGGGGTGACAGAGCGAGACTTCGTCTCAAAAAAAAAAAAAAAAAAATTAAAGTGGGGTCATGAGGGTGGGTCCTAAGCCAACATGATTTGTGTCCTTATAAAAGGAGGAGATCAGGACCCAGACGCACATCAAGGGACCACCATGTGCAGACACAGGGAGAAGGCGGCATCTGCAAGCCACGGACAGAAGCCTCTGAAGAAACCAGCTTGCTGACAGCTTGGTCTCCAGCATCCAGCCTCCAGAACCGTGAGAAAATACATTCCTATTGTCTAAGTTGCCCCGTATGTGGTTCTTTGCTATAGATGCCCCGGCAAATAAGGCAAGTGACAACGCCACAGCCTCCTGATGCACCCCAGCTCTCACCATGGCACAGCGACCCCTATGAGCAGTGCGGACCCATGGGCTTCTCACAGTCATGCACTTGTCAAGCGCATAGGTCTGGGGTGAGCAGGGCTAAGCTCCAGTCCTGGCTCTGCCACTTCAAAATTGTGTGGCTGTGGTCAAAGCCACATCACCACTCTCAGCCTTGGCTTTCTGATGGTAAAAGAGGTAAAAGTGCCGGCCTCGCGCTGCTGTCTGAGGCCTAAGTGAGCCGATGTGTGTAAGTTACTGGGCCTATGCCGTGTGCTTGCCTGCAGCAGTTGCTATAACTGAGTAAGGCTCTGGGATGCGGTGACCCAGTACACCGTATGGAGAAGGAAGAGAATTGTCTGGAAGACAGAATGGGTGGTAATTTGGAGTGGATGCTCTGGCCCTGGGTGGGCCAAGGGGCTGGGTGGACCAGAGCTGTCCACACTCTCCTGGGGCCTCTGGCAAGGCCCGGGCCCGTGGCCCGCCCTGGGACAGCCAGTTGTGCTGCAGCAGGCCCTCACTTCCGGCCAAGTGCCGAGCCATGTCAGGATGTGGGAGTGAGGGCCGCCATCTAGGTGCCCTGGTGCTGGGCCCGCCCAGCCAGTTTCCGAAGCTCGTCCCAGAAGAGCATGCTGAGGATAGTGTGGGGACCCAGGCGCAGGTAGGCGGGGCCCAGGCCCTTGTAGAGCGCCAGGGGTCCCTCTTGCCGCCAGATCTTCACCATGCAGTCGGTGAGGCCCCCATAGAGCTGGCCCTGGGGAAACACATGGGGTGAGTGTTACTACAGGGGCCGTGAGGCCCTGGCTGGCACCACGTCTTGGCACACGGGTCAGTTTCACCCCCACACACCCTATGGACAGCGCGTCTGTATTGGGCACATGTGTGAGGCTGCGGTGCCATGAGAAGGCTGTAGGATCAGGCCTGGATTCCAGTTCTGGCTCCCCCACTTACCAGCTGGGGGAACTCATGCAAGTCACTTGATCTGTCTGAGCCTCAGTTTCCTCATCAGGGAGACGAATGTGATTTTAAGGATGGAATAAAATCCAGATGTGAAAGTGCTTAGCCTGTGCTTGGGACATGGGAGCTCAGCAAACAAGCCCAGTTAATGTGTTTGCAGGCATGGCCTGTGTGTGCATGTCTCTGGCTGTGCATATGTGAGTGTGTGTGAGTGTGTGTGTGTGTGTGTTGGGGGGGTGCTCCCAGCTCCCCACATCCTCCCCTAGACCCACTCCTGCTCACCCTGCCAGCTCTGTCCACCGGCTGATTGTATAGCCGTGTGCTGACCACATCGAAGGGGGTCATGGCGACAACCACGGCTATGCTGCTAATCATGCCTCCCGCCAGGGCCACCAGCCAGCTGTCCTCCGGGAGCCACTGTGGGGATGGCACAGGTGGGGACCCCTGCATCTGCCCTCTACCCACCCACGTGGTGCCCTCCCGGCCTCCTACTGCACAGGGGCTAAAAGGGCTGCAGAAAGGGGAGCAGATGGGGCCCCTCCAGCCATCCTCCAGCCCTGCTACCCTGAGCTCCTTCTCAGCTTTGGGGTTCACTGCTGACCCCCCACTCCTGCTGGTACCAAGGGTCAGAGTCATGACTCTGAGGGCAGAGGCCCCATCTGTTGCCACCCCCTGGTCTTCCCCGTGTGGAAGGAGGCAGGTGGTCCCCCTCAGTCCCGTGTGTCTCTGTGGGTAGGCACAGGTGTCCCCAGCTCCTCACCTGTTGCTTCTGCACCCAGGCCTTGGCAGAGGTGAAGGTGGCCAGCTGGGCAGCTGAGCCTACCATGACTCGGGGCACAGCCCCACCAACGCCCTGCCACAGACCCAGCAGCCCTTGCTGCCGCCAGATGGTCTCCAAGGCACCCAGGACAGTCTGTGGGGAGAGGGCACGGGGTCACTGGCCACCCGTGCCCAGGCTGGGAGCATGCCCAATCCGTGCCCCCAGGGAGCTCTGAGAGTGGCAGGCCTCACCTGGTGATTGTGCTGGTGTCCCACAGCCATCGTGGCCACTGTCTGGGCTTGCAGCTGTGTTTTGATCTGTAGGAGCAGAGGGGACATGGGGTGTGGGGATGGAGCCTGGGAGAGCCAGGATGAGCTGTGTGTGTTGAGGGCGCCTCCGCCCCTGTGCCCCTGGAACTCAGAGCTCTGTGGTCCCTAGCCTGAGGCTTAGGGGTCATGTGAAATAGGGTTGAGGTGCAGCTCTGGGGTCGGCCTGGGTTTTGCATCTCAGTGTGACTTGGAGCGAGTTACTTAACCTTCTCTGGACTTCAATTCTGTCACGGTTGGAAAGCTGTTCTGAGGATTAAGTGAGACAATGACTCCCCAGCACCAGCCAAGGACAAGGCAAGCCTTTGCTCAAGGGTAGCTTTTTTCTTTTTGTTTCTTTCTCTCTTTTTTTTTTTTTTTTTTTGAGACAGAGTCTTGCTCTGTTGCCCAGGCTGAAGTGCAGTGCCACGATCTCGGCTCACCGCAACCTCTGCCAGCCGGGCTAAAGCGATTCTCCTGCCTCGGCCTCCCCAGTAGCTGAGATTACAGGATGCATCACCACGCCCAGCTAATTTTTGTGCTTTTTAGTAGAGACGGGGTTTCACCATGTTGACCAGGCTGGTCTCAAACTCCTGACCTCAGGCGATCTGCCCGCCTTGGCCTCCCAAAGTGTTGGGATTACAGGCGTGAGCCACCGCGCCCAGCCAAGGGTAGCTTTTTTCAAAACATTTTTAAAAAATTTTTTTATTTGTTTTGGGCGGCCCTGAGGCGTCCCTGCAGAGTGCACGTGAGGAGGAGGCCCTCAAGGGTAGCTTTTATTCTTATCGTACACGAGGCACAGGAAGAGAAGTAACCAAGCCAGGATTTGAGCCAGCGTATCTGCCACCCTTTGCCCCCTCCCCTGGCCCAGGACCAGTGGGGCAGGGTCCCCAGGAGAGCATGGATCAGAGCAAGGCCCTGGTGCCCTGGGCCAAGGGGCAGATTCCAGGCCTGGGCTAAGATGTTCCAGGGGGCAGCCCCACCCAGGCTGCCCCACCCCACCCAAGTCCACTGAGCCCAGCCTTTGGAGGCTGCAGGGTCCCTGCAGGAGCTGGGTCATGGGATGGTGGAGGATGGAAACAAGCCACTCACCAGGTAAGCAGGGCTCCCCACGAAGGCTCCCAGTGCTCCTGCCACGGCTCCTGCAACCACGGTGCCACCTGGTTGCTGTGTGAGGCCAGCCTGGCATGCCAGGCTGTAGCAGTAGAAACGAACGCCGTTCATGAGGCCTTGGTACAGAAGGCCAGCAGCCAGCCCCTTCTGCAGGCCCCACAGCCCGTCTGCTCGGGCCACAGCAGTGACAGAGGCCATGAAGCCCCGGTAGGGCTGTGGGTAGGTGCCCCGGGCCTGCAGCTCCCCCTGCAGCTGCAGCCGCGTCTTCACCACCTCCAGGGGGTTGGTGAAGACACAGGCCAGGCAGCAGGCCGAGGCACCCAGCACCAGGTCCACTGCTGGGGGAACTGTCTCCACAGCCTCCGCGCCAGTGGCCTTCTGTGCCTGGGCCAGGTGCATGGCACAGGCCCTGTGGTGGTGGCGTTTAGGCTGTCTGTAACCTCGCAGGGCCACGGGGCTGGGGTTTGCAGGGGCCTGAGGCCATGTCTAGAGGGTAAGAGTCCTGGTCTGATAGGCCTGTGGCTGCCTGGAGTCCCTGGTCTATCTCAGCAGTCCACCTGCTCTGCTCAGCTGTTCCAGTGGTCTGCTGGAGCCTGAGACACGCCTCCACCGGCTGTGACCAATCCCAGCTGCTTCTGTGCTCACACCTGCCAGCTGAGGGCGGGCCTGGACCCTGGGATCTGGGGGAAAGGTCACTTGGGACTGGAGGGAGAGCTTGGATAGGGAGAAGGTGCCAACCAGCTCAGGCTCCTCCTCCTGGTCTCCCTCTGGCCCTGGGTAAATGGCTGGCACCCCTGCCTTGCCTCTGGCTTAGCCTGTCCAGCTTTGGCAGAGCCCTGGGCAGGGGGCAAGTGACTGGGAGGTCCCTGGCATGGGGTACATGGCCAACTTCGCCCCTGCCCCACTCTGCCCCTGATGTGCCCCTGGTGACTGACTTCCCCTTTCCAGGACTCAGTCTTCCAGTCTGGCTCCCACCGTCTATAGGCCCATGCTCAGCAGGGTCAGAAGTAGAGAAGGGCTCTGGAGCCCTGGGGGGAGGACTGGAATCCCAGGTGCCGCTCTTATGTGCGACCCTGGGCAAATCACTTCCTCTCAGAGCTTCACTTTCTCTCCTTTGTAAAATGAAGACACTGACATCCACTCCAGAAGGTTCTGTGGAGGAGTGGCGATGAGAACAGTGTGCCTAGGTCAGTGCCACGCCGAATAAAAGGCACCCGCATTGCCTGCTGGCCCCCACCCCCACTGCCTCCGGCTCCTATGCCCCCCTCACTGCTCCCAGGACTTCAGGGCGCCTGGGTGAGTAGGAGTTGAGGAGTGACCTCAGCTGGTAAGGACTTGCAGCCAGTCCTGCCCTCCTGCTGGGGGAGCCCCTCCTGGGCTGGGCAGGAGGCTCTGCTGCTCCCTGAAGGAATGGCCAGGCAGCCAGTGGGGCAGGAGGTGGCCCTTGGATGCCCTTTGTGCCTGCTGAGAAGAGAGCGCCACCTGGGCCAGCGGTCAGGTGTGTCTGCTCAGGCTGGGGCCAGCACCAACATGCCCACTTTGGCCTCTGCCCCCAGACAGCTCTTTCCTGCCAGGCCACCCTCAATCACCCAAGGCCCAGTCCAAACCAGAGGCAGAGCCACCCAGGCTGGAGTCCCACACCCACCTCCCAGGGTCCACCCCTTCCCTCCCAGGCCCTTGAGGCAGCAGTGCTGAGTGGCTTGAGGGCCTCGGGCTCCCGGCCTGGCAGGCTTGTCACCCTCTGGCCAGCCCCGGAGAGGACGGTGCAGCAAGCAGCAGGAAAGCTTGGATGCTCCTGGCTTTGGGCACTCACTCCGGGGCTGTGGAGGCAGGAGCGTCCCGCCCCGGGATGGGCTGCAGATGGTGGGCGGTAGTGCAGATGTGCCCTGGGGCTTGAGTTGGTGGCTGCTCCTCCCCTGGCCGCTGTAGCAAACGGGAACAGGAGGGAGGGCAAAGGTCAGGCCGAGAAACTCCCAGGGCCTGAGGGCCTGCAGTGAGTCCACCCGGCAACTGTGGCTGATCTGGTTCTGCATATCCTGTGTATCCCTCGTGTCAGGCACAGGGCAGGATGGAGGAAGGTTTGCAGAAAAGGGCCCAAGGGATTTGGAGACCTCCCTTCCCCTACCCTGCTCACAAAGGGCCAGTGACAAGCCTCGGCAATATAACATGTCTATTTTATTTTAAAAAACAAAACCCAAACCACCTGAGCCCTTCCCCAGGAGGCTCTGGACGAAACTCTAGGGAAGGGCCTGGCTCCAGCCAAGCAGGGGACAGTCAGAAGATGTCAACATGGATGCCAGGCTGGTGGGCTCTGCCCTTCTCCAAGCACCCCATCCACCCCTTTTGCTCCTTGGTGCTACAGGCACTGCCAGGTTGAAGGGAGAGGCAGGGCAGGACCGTGGGCATGCAGAGCCTCCTGGCAGCCAGGGAGGGCTGCCCGCCCCCTGCATCTGGCGAGGCAGGCAGCTGTGTGTGCGGTGATGGAGCTAGGAGGAGGAAGCATGCACAGACACCCCCTGTTCCTGCTTCCCCACGCGGCCAGGAGAGTGTTCAAACACGAACAAGGATGGCTGGGCACTCAGGGCCCCAGCCCCCAACCCAGGAGAGGAAGAGGGGGCTCCCGCCCTCCTGGTTCTTTTGTTCTTCCTTAGATCGATGCTGTTCTCAGTGCCACTCGGCAGAGATTCTGCAGACTGAGGCAGACGCCCGGGAGGAGGGCATGCATCCGCAGAGCCCACAGGGCTCAGACCCTCTGCCCCCAGCGACCTCCGTTCGCTACCTGTCGGGCAGGATGCCCAGGGGTGCCGGGCACCTGATCTGGATCCCTGGAGTGGAGGGACCCTGTCTTAAGCCACACTCGGTTTTTTCTGCCGCCCGGGGCAGGGGTGGGCTGTAGGCTCCCGACAGTATGGCGACAGCCGTGACAGTGTGCCTGTCGGTTGGCGTGCCTTCCTTTCCTGCCCACCAGGGACGCCAACCAGCTCTGCCTCAGCACCAGGGGTCTCGGGAGGCTCGGCCGCGGCAGAGACTGTCGCTGCGCTGCCAGGCGCTGTGGATGAGGCTCAAGGCATCCTCGAATTTCTTCTTGTTGGAGGCTTCCTGGATCGCCGTGTGGGGGAGGTCCACCTGTGTGGAGGGCGTGCAGAGAACAGATGAGGGCTGCAGCAGTCTTCAGGGCTTGTGAGCACCATGCCTGGCTATGCCTTGGCCTCGGCGCCTGTCAGGCCCTCCCATACCTCCCTGGGAACAGCTTCCACGCTGCCAGTTTCTCCTGCTCTTGCCAGGGGCTTGAGCTGAGGATGGGGTGGTACCCGCTGAGCCCCCTCTTTCCTGGGAAGGCCCCAGCCCTCAGTATGGCCCAGCGAGGCAGGCGCTGCAGGGAGGTGGTCTGTCCTGAGCTGTTCTCTGCCTCCGGGTAGTCCAAGCTTCCATGGGGCTAGAGCACAGCACATGCTCAAAACCCACTTGTGCAGGGCTCTCATGAGCACCCTCCCACACTGGTGCTAAGCCTGGAGGGTAAGGAAGAGGGTACTGCCAATCTTGTGCCCCCACCATCTGAGCACAGCTGGAGGTCCACCACCATGCGTGCTGTTTGATTAGAACTAAGGTCAGGAATTAAGTTTCTTAGGTTCTGTTTTCAGCTTCGGCCTCAGACTCACTAGGAGTCAGGGTTTTGCCCCTTTGGTTCTAAGTTTTTGTGCCTGTCAGGTGTGTCTGCTCAGTCTGGGGCCAGCACCAACATGCCCACTTTGGCCTCTGCCCCCAGACAGCTCTTTCCTGCCAGGCCACCCTCAATCACCCAAGGCCCAGTCCAAACCAGAGGCAGAGTCACCCAGGCTGGAGTCCCACACCCACCTCCCGGGGCCCACCCCTTCCCTCCCAGGCCCTTGAGGCAGCAGTGCTGAGTGGCTTGAGGGCCTTGGGCTCCTGGCCTGGCAGGCTTGTCACCCTCTGGCCAGCCGAGGAGGGGACGGTGCAGCAAGAGGCAGTAAGGACAGCGAGGACTCTCCTGGGTTTGTTTCAAGAGCAGCAAGCACTCACCCCCCAGGTCTGAGGCAGGAGTACCCTGGTACATGGCTGTGCCCAGGATCCTAGAGGCAGGGCCAGGTCCTGGGAGCAGCTAGGGTTCGTCTCCCCAGGGAGTGGCTCCCACTCCACAGGGTCCCTGGCTAATGGGGTTCCTGGGCAGCTGGGTACCTGATAAATGGTTTTCCACCCAGAGTTCAGTGCAGACAGCAATCGGTCCAGTTCAGAAGTGCAGCTCAGGTAGATGACCCAGGGCGGAAGGAGCTGCTGGCTGTCCTGGGAGAACTCCTAGGGAGAGCCAGGCCCCCGGTGAGCAGTCAGAGCTTTCCTTCTGCAGGACCTGCATCCCCACCCCCACCCCCAGCTCACCAAGACACAGTACTCCTTGCCCGGCTCAGTGGAGACAGCGCTGATGTCGCCCAGCTTGGCTGTGCCCAGAGAGCGGAAGAAGCTGGTCTGGCAATCCTCATGGCACGTGAAGAGGCGGTCATCGGTGAGGACCAGGCAGCAGGGGATGCAGGGGCTGGGAGCTACGCCCTGAGGGATGACCTGGCAGCGGGGCAGGGGAGAGGCAGGCTGGGGCCTCCAGGGCTGGTCTACACCAGAACTCCCCACTCCAGGGGACCCAGCCAGCCCTTCTGCTCTCCCTCCAGGGATCAGGAGTAGAGGTGGGGATGGGAGTGATGCCCCTGAGCTCCAGGGTCCATTCCTGGGCTGCCCCCTGGAGGTCTTGGCCCTCAGGTTGCTCTGTGACTATGGGTTTAGAGATGGGACCCTGGGGGTCTGGGTGGGTGAGGCAGGCCAGGTGAGCGGTGGGGGCAGGCAAAGCTCACCCCTTTGGACACAGCCTGGCAGAGGTGCTGCATCCACTCGGCCATCTCGGCCTCACTCTCGGCACTCAGCTCTAGGCAGGGCCGGTCGGAGAGAATGACCTGGAAGGCGTGGGGCCGATCCGTGGTGTTGGCTCTCCGGCAGCCACCGCACTGCTCCCCCCTGGGCCAGAGGAGGAGGGTGAAACGGGAGCGAGAAGGCAGGGGCAGCATCGAGGGGCAGCCCCCAGGGTTGGTGCAGGGTGTGCGGCACAGGGTCTGCCCCACCGTCCTGGGGGCTGGAGGATACCAGAGGGCTCTCCAGGCCCCTCCAGCTCCCAGGAGAAGTCTGGGAGCCCCACCCACCACCTTTCTGTGTAACACCTTTCATCTCCAGAATGCCCAAGGTCTTCTAAATCCCCAAGCATGGCCAGGTGGGGCTGCGAATCAGTTGTCCCTCTGGCCCTCTGAGAATTGGCCTCATTCATTCATGCGTGCTTCCTCTTGAGGGCCCGCTGTTCCTTCCGATTACCCGAATGTCCATCTCCCATCAGGCCGGGAGCTTCTGGGGAAGGGCCTGCCTCCCCCATCAGACTGGACCTGTTCTAAGCCAGGAGCTCCTTGCTGCCTCCCTCATCCCCTCCTGTGGGCTCCTTGCAGCATTCCGATCATGGAAGCCCCAGGCCACCTGTCAGGGCCGCTGGATTGGGGAGGGCTGAGGGCGAGGCTGAACTGCCAAGCGGGGAGGACATCTCGAACGAGGGAGACGGCAGCTCTGGGCCCCAGGACACACCCCCTTCTCCCGGGACACTCACCCCATGTTCACTGAGAGCAGAGGGATGACATCGGTGCGGTCCGGGTACTGGTAGAGGATCCCGTTGCTGCAGGGACACAAAACAGGGCGAGTGAGCCCTGTCCCAGGAACTGGGGCCAGGCAGAGCCCAAGTCCCAGGGTTCCCCTCCCACACACATGCTGTGGCCATGAACCTGAGGCAAAGGAGGCCAGGAGCTGTCATCTACGGAAGGGAGGGTGAAGAAAGCCCTGGGGGCCCAGCAGGGAACGTGGCCACCTCAGCAGACCTGGGACACAGCTCAAGGTTCATCAGAGGGACCAAGCCTGCGTCCTCCCCTGAGGCACTCAGGGATTCCTGGGCCCCAAAGATGACTGGCTGTACAGAGAAGCTCTAACAGCCTGAGCTAGGTCGACTCCAAGCTCTTATAGGGAAGAGAAGCGTCCTCTTCTCAGGCTGCTCCCTAAGTGACCTGCTGCGGAGAGATCCCCCCGCTGGGGACCTGACTGCCCAGCTACCCCAGGGCCCAAGCCCCAGGCCTGGAGCTGCCTGGGCTCCCACCTGAGAACCACAAAGCACATCTTCCAGTGTTCCTTGCCCAGGTAGGAGGTGCCCGCCTTGTAGTGCAGCATGCCTTCTTTGGTGATGGTGCCCTCGGGGGGTGAGCAGTGGCAGGGGGCAGGGCCCAGGGACTCATCTGTGGGGTCCTCCCAGTGCACAAGGCCGTAGAAGCGCACGGTGACAGCAGATGCCTGGGTGGGGGACAGGGAACAAAGCAAGTAAGGCCGGGGCCAGGCAGGTGGCTGAGCCCGGACTGGGCTCACTGATGGCACCTGGGGTAGCCAAGAGCAAGGGTTTTGTTTTTTTTTCGGGGACTGAGTCTCGCTCCGTCACCCAGGCTGGAGTGCAGTGGTACAATCTCTACTCACCGCAACCTCCACCTCCCAGGTTCAAGCGATTCTCCTGCCTCAGCTCCCGAGTAGCTGGGATTACAGGTGCCCGCCACCATGTCTGGCTAATTTTTGTATTTTTAGTAGAGACGGGGTTTCACCATTTTGGTGAGGCTGGTCTCGAACTCCTGACCTCAGGTGATCTGCCTGCCTCGGCCTCCCAAAGTGCTGGGATTACAGGCGTGAGCCACCACGCCCTGCCGAGCAAGGGTGTTTTAACCTTAGGACACAGCCCAAGTAGGAAGGTGGACATGACCTTCCTCCCGTCCAGGATGGGAAAGCCCCGTCCCATCCCACCCAGGTAGGCGATTGTGAAATGGCAAAGACGTCTATGTGCATCCCTTAACCTTCATGGCTGCTGCTCTGCCATCTCAGGGGCCGCACCCAGCTTCCTCCCCAGGTTCTTACCTCACACTTCGATTCTTGGGCCA